TTTTAGTTAAAATGATTTTATGGTAATCAACTAATCATTTCAGCTCTAATAACTTTATGAAGGTTTGACAAATTAAAAAAAAAAATTCAACAGTCAAAATGAAGATATAACAATGCCTTTCTGTTAATTCACATTCACATACATAGAAACTGATCTCAACAGGGCCCAGTCTGCAGTTCTGGGATGCAAGTCTATTGTAGTGAGTGCAATTAGGAACACAAGTGCCTCACAAAGCTTCAAAACCAGAAGCGTGGTTACAAAAGCCAGGTTGAATGCTTGCAAATAAACGTTTACCCTCACATGCACAAAAAAAGAAAAAAGAAAAACAGGGGGTGATGTTGTTGTTGCCAATGGAGCAAAAACTGCCAAGTTACTGAGAAACATTTGTTGGTTAGCCAGTGTGTACTGCACGTCTTTGTTCAACGGATTAAAACACAAACCATTTATATACTACAACATTTTACACATCCAAATGTGAACAGCCTGGAGTCAGACATCAGCTCTTTAATCACATTTATATTTTCTACCAGGGAGTCACTAACTGCTATCTCATAAAATGGAATTTGTTTGGTTGGCTCCATAATCCAATCACAACAACATTGTTTTTGTCCTGCATCTAATACACAGCACAGAATGGAAAATAGTGCAGGCACAAGCAAATGTGAGGCACCGGCTCTTTATCTAAATCTTCACGGGTTAGATCAGTGCCAACAACAAATAATTTTAGAGACTTGGGATGCTGTAATTTCGCTGAGGCGCACTGAGTATTTTGCTCACCTATTATCAACAATTGATTTACATCTCCGTCCTAGGACACTGGGACCACACTGCCTTTACTGAAATTATACTGTGCTCAGTGTTTTTTTGAAATTCAGCTGCGAGAGCCTCTGGAAATCTCTGAGGAAAATACCAGATCAGAGCACAAACGTACCACAAACTGTCTTCCTGTTTCCTTCGACTGCTACAGAGTAGAGAGAGTAGAGTCTTCTTTCCCTTGAGATGCTGAGGCCTATATTTACCAGAGGCCAGGAACTGGGAGTTTGGGACCAAGTGGAGTGCCTTCGAATTTCCATCCAACCATCTCTGGGTGGATAGGATTTGGCACTGTCACTAGGATCGTTCCAGCCCACCCTCATTTTCCCTCCCACAGACAGCACTTCCCTTCTGCCCCACTCTATCTCTGTGATGGCCACACTATGGCACTATAGTGTGCTGTTTCATGATGCTGTGGTTGCTATGGAAACCACACTAAACAGCCCTCTGGCTTGAGAGAAGCTGTGATCAGTAGCAGAAGCTGTACATGTATACTGTACCACTTCCAACAGACAGATGCTGTAACACAAAAAAACACAGTCCTGGCTAATACAGAAACAGAAATGTTTCCGACATGTACAATACAGTCAGCACATGCCGTATGCATGCAAGGAGTCTGTTTTTTTTTTTTATAATTTGCCAACAATCCTTTCATTGTAGTACTGACAGCTTGAAAAGTAGAGCAGTTATAGAAACACCTGCATTGTTGGGACTTTAACCCTCACAAGGAATAACTATGGACAACTGTCCAAAATCCAGCTGCTGTCATTTGCTTGGCACTTGACCAGTGGTGCATGTACTGCAACACACCCAGACCAGATGTCAAAACAACTGCGACAGCACCGTGAACAACAGCTATTCAGTTGGCACTCAGCTCAGGCCTGCTTTGGTTGCATCCCTGAACCTTGTCTTGTAGAGCATGACCAGCATATACAAATGTGAAAGCTCCTCAGGGTGAGGAGGTTGAGTTTATACGTCTTCTACTTTTTTGCTTTTGTGCAATAATAAAAAAAAAAATTCTTACATGAGTTATCAGCTGCTGCTGTTCAGTCAGCCACATAAAGTAACTCGATCACTGCTGCTGCTTACTACTGTCACAGTTCAGCAATCACTTGTGGGGGAAATACACTCCAACCAGAGGCCTGAGCTCCAATGACCCACTTCCTCAATCATAAAATATGAAGGATCTGTGTGAGTCAATACACAGCACACACATGCCTGCTTTCTGTGAGGACATAGGTGTACTCAGCCTACATCTCAATATTCAACTGCAGAGTGTAAAGAACCACTGCATCACTTTGGGATGCAAAAATCACAAATCTTGATCAATGCAGTACTTCTCTAAATTCTAGATATTTTTTTTTGCATTGACGGTGTTTCAGGCACATCAATCCACCTTCTTCTCTGAGGGTTTTTCTCGGTTGATAGGTTGTAGTTTTGTCTAAATAGCTTCACTAAGAAATTAATTTTTATTTTTCCCCTCAATGAAGCTGTATTTTGTGGAAAAAAAAGCAATTGATTATTTTTATTATCATTTAATGTGCAGATTATTTTCTCTATTAATCGTTAGTCTAGGAAATGTTAATAGTGGATTAAAATGCTATTTCGTTTCTCTGAGCCCATTGTGACACTTTGAATTTGCTTGTTTTGTCCGACTAACATTCCAAAACCTAATGATCAAACAACAAGGCCGTACTTCTTGAATCTACCTTCTATCTACCAAAAATAGGCTATAAGAGAATGTGGGGTGAAACCTTGCAGCCTCCCTTACTGAAACCACTGAATCAGACTTATAGAAACTAGAGTGAGAGCAGCTGTAAGGAAGTGAGTGCACAGAACTCTCCTTTCTTCTTCACTAAAATAAACCGTATAGGGATACAAATAAATAAAAGCATCTCTGTGGCTGTATTTACAGTACTAATTATATTAACTTCATGTTGGTGGCCTGGGTTGTAACGGCCTCTCCCTGGGGTGTGGGAGTCTCCAAAGAGCTCTGAGTGTAGATGGAAACAGAACATGATTGGCTGGCCTCCTCTCCCTCTTTCTCTTTGACCATTCAATGCCACAAAACTTGTCACTGCTCTTTTGAGTTTTGACAACAGATGGGCCAACGGTTTCTGTCACCTGACGCCCCCCGTCTCTGCAGGCTCACTTGGATCCACTGTGGGCCATACACACATATAGTATGCAGACACCCTCTTTAGTCTCAACACAATCAGCTGTCAGATTCTGAAGGGTTGATATTTCTGAGCTTTGAACAAGAAGCAAATACAACTACATTTACTTAGAATATAAGATGAGACAAAGACATGTAAATGTCTTCTTCAACTTATTTGAAGTTCAACAAGTTTGTTTCTCGTGAGAGTTGATAATTCATTAGCCTTTCAGCTGCAATAGACGCAGGCTAATAAAAAACACAGATCTCTCAACTAGCTAGTCAAGAAGCGTAAACTATTAGTCTAATCCTGGGATCAGGGCCACCGTTGTGACTGTGAGGTTCATTAATAGCTTCTCAGCTGACTGCATTCAAAGGAACACGATTAGCTTGTTCCAGCCTTTCAGTCTACCTGGTAGATTCCAGCCGGGTGTCAAACAAGCTTTTGTGCTTTCATCTCACTGTGCCTCAGTCCAGTGTGACTCATAAGACTAGTTACTAAGACTGGATTTCACATAGCTGGAATGCACTTTGCTACAAAGCTGACCTGAAATCATGAGGAGATGAAGTTGTAATTTTTTTGCCATTTATATTGTGATACAACATCGACCTCAGTCGCTACTATATTACCTGCTATTCTACATCAACATGAAAATGCCCAACAGGCCAGGCAGGCCACTGTGCATCAATACCATTCCCACAACCTATAAATAATGTGTACAACTGTCACATAATATGACACATAATTACTTAAAGAGACTGCGGCCTGAACTCAGCTGGATGGGAAAGAGCAAAAAGTACTGACTGCAGTTTTCACAATGTGCTCTGCATTTCTGCAAGACACAGCTGTAAACCTAATGACAGGGCTCTGTTCAAACTTGATTTTTCTTTTCTTTTTTTACAAGACACATGCATACTTTCACTTAAACGATGGTTTAAGTGAAAGTACGCAATAACTCTTCCTTTCCCTAAAGTTAGAAAGTGAGTTAAACAGGGCAAGGTGATACTTAATTTCCTGACCTACACACCCAAATGCCTTTCTCTGTACTGAAAGCTGCCGGCATCAAGAGTGACAGCACTGGAGACAACAACATTCCTCCACACGCACAGACCTTCCTGATGAAGTGTCGGCCACACCTACAGTATGAGTTGCAGTGACGAGGAGAAACAAGAAACAATGCGTAGATGAGTAGCAAAACGGGAGGGGCTATTGTTATAGAAATTATGTTCAATCCAAAACTGATCGTGACGCCTTTAAATCCTCAAAGGCTGCAAAAAAGTAGAAGTTAGCTAAGGCAACTCGATTCTACAATGTAGTAAAAGTATGTATAAAGCAATCTAGGGTACATGCTTTTTTTATTTTACCCTGTGCAAGCCTCCCCAATTCCCCTCTAAGCATAGAAACACACACACCAACTAAATCATGAGGCTGACTCATCAAAACCACAACCACATGATTTTTTTTGGAGGAGACTAAACTGATTTACAAAAGCTCTAAAAGTAAAAAAAAATAACAATGGAATCTGACTAAAGTAATCTCATGCTGTAACAGTATTTGCAGCCTCTTGCCAATTTAACGGTAAATCTAATCTATATAATTGCAGCTCTGAGTCAGCTGAGAGAAAGGAGGCTCGACTATCAAAGAACGCTGCATCCTAAAAGAATATAGTCGAGTCATTGCTCTTAAAGATATTGTCTTTAAACAGCAAACAAACCAACACAAAAATAGTGAATGTAAAACAACATTTGGAATAATTTGGCTTTCATTATATGATACCTTCATAATGACATGAGTAAAGTGACCAGTTATTATAATAGCAGTTCAGGTTAACAGTGTTCAACAGCATAAACAAGACAAGAGCAAATGGAAAATGAAGTAGCAGGTTGATGCCAAACTTCCAAAGCCTCATTTTGAGTTAATGCTATGAACTGCCTGGGGTCATAAATGACAAATAGGGTGTAACTGAACTGGCATAGGCTTGACTGTTGGATGCTGCAGCAAGTGTACAGCAGCACAGCACTGAGGTCTCACCTGAGAGAGTAGGTATAGCCGGTGTTCTCTGGAGCACACTGTGGCGGCGTATATGTGTGCAGTTGTGAAAAATCCATGGTCATTCTTCTTTGTTTAGACTGCAAGAGTCAGGATGTAAGGGACAGAACTCTTTAAGCCAATGCTGACATGGTGGAAAGGGGGGGGGTAACAAGCACAAACTAACTTCCATACACACTCACAACAATGCATGCACTGCCTTGTTCAGCCTGTCTCTTGCAGACAAATTAGTTCTAATAATGAGCTCAAGTTCTGCCACTATAACTGCATCTTAAAAACAGATTCAGAGCCGCATCTACACATTAAATGCAATACAGCACTGGAAAATTCCCTGCCTCTTCCCAAATCAATTCTAGCGCTTTTCACTGGGCTGCTCTCCAAAAAAAAAAACACAAACACCAGTTACTGCTATGCTGTACAACCATGTCAGAAAGCCCAGCGCCTGCAGGCCCTGACGAGAGCCGCTGGACTCTGGACATTCCTTTTCCCCAGGAACACAACAATGCTACTGTGGACAAGAGCTGGCCGACCTCTTCCTGCATGTTTGCTCTGGTTGGTAGTTGACGGAGGCCACAGACGCCACTGGAGCTGTAATGAATGACTCGTCTCTTCTCCCCTGGTCGGCAAACAGGCGGCAACTGACAGGAATGGCTGGTAGAGAAAGGAAAGAGACAGTGACGATCCTCTCTTGCCTTTGTATTAAGCAGACTCCTCACAGGGACAGCTACTCCTACAGTGACGCTTGGATAAGCTCCACACACAGAAAAGGCAGTATTATGAAACCAAGTAAAACAGCTAGGGGTGGGGCTGAGTTTTAGGTAATGGGCGGGAAAAAATCTCCAGACTATGCAAATACTATGTTACCATGATACACTCAGTTTATTAGGCACGCCTAGCTAAACCTAGTACAGTCAAATAAAACTCCTGAAATAATCCTACCTTCATGAAAGTTATAATGCCCAGTTTCTGTTGAAACTGTTACAGAGGTGCTGATTCAACTTCATACCGCGTTTTGAGGCTGTAGTTTGTGGTGCTGTTGAATTATACCGTTAGTTACAGTGACAGCAGTTTCTATTATTTAGCTTTCCCTTTTTACATCAGTGAAGGTAGGCTGAACAACAGAAACACCTCTCTGTGTAATGCTCTACAGTTCAACAACACAACAAACTACATCCTCCAAAATCATACAGTTCAACTGGCAACTGAGTGTATATTAGCAGTCAATATTGCCAAAAGTCAGCTGTGGAAATGCAGGTTGAAATGAGGTGATTATAGTCAGTTCTTATGAAAAAGGTTTAACCCTTGCTCTACATAACATTAAGCATGAAATAACTATGGCTGACTGATTTTACATTTCTGGTCCTAACAAGCTGTAAACAATGAAACCATGTAAAACCACACTATGATATCTAACATATCATGAGCAAAAACGAACTTCAGCTTCAACTTCTTCACAGCTATTCAATCAAACAGAGGGAGGATGCAAAGACCGCGCGGCACAAAAAAACAGATGGCTTTTCCTAAAATCCACCACAGAAATCTCCATAATAATCTTAATCATGTTTCAAATCCGCATCCAGCCGAAAAGAGGGATAAGCATAAACAAATATCCAAAAGCCATGGGCACTGCTTTAATTCAGCCAGGATTAGTTTTTTTGACTTGTCAACTGGTGCAATGAATCATGATGCAATCGCTCAATGTGGGCACTCCAAAATTAAATACCAACCTCCTACTGTGCATCAGCTGAGCTAGAACTGCTGCAGGATGGACTGAGAATAAGGGAGAGCACTCCTAACCATCAGCCTAATTAAACTGCAGTCCGACCACATGTACTCAATGAATTGCTATCTGTGTTCTCCAGCTTTTATTTCAGCATGTGACTGGATCTTTTTTAGTTATAATATGGCATTTGACGCTTGAGCTCATCATTCAGGAGAAAGCTTGAACAATAACAGACCATGAGGACATCCCCACAAACACACACACCTACAGTCTACACATGCTACACAGTGACACATTTTACAGTCCTGTATTTCACCTCGCACGTCTTTGCTGGCTCCTTTACGCAAACTACCTGCGACGAACAGCGCAAACAACGGAGTCCTGCGACTAATAGTACTCCTACTGTCAAAACAGTGTTTCAGACCGGTGCTGTTTGAAACACATATTTAGTTTAATAATAACTGCACATACTGTCCGGCCAAATGACATATAAGTCGTTACATTCTCACACTGCCCAGTGCTAAATTTAGACACCATGTATTTAGTCAACGCCGTCACTCATGAAAGCACTGACTTACAGGCTTGTGCAACGACGCACTATTCACATTTCTTATCATAACAGGTGCATTCAGCATTTATAAGTTAAAACACACAGTCCCCGGTATCTATAAATGACGGATAACATATTAAATGTGTGGTTATGTAAAAAATCACTGTTGAAAATAAGGCCTGAGAAAGCGTTCGCTGCCAAAACAGCTGTGGGTAAAGGAGCTCAGCAAGGACAAAATATATCAAAATTAAAGGAAATGACACAATCACTACATAGAATTACCCCTACATTAACCTATAGGATGTTATTTATAGTAGTAGGCTATGTCAACTTGCCCGCGTGGTTAGAGTCCATGTATGTTGTTATTCTTTAAGAGCGTAATCCTAATGAACAACATCCACACATTATTGTCACGGAAGATGCGCAAACTTCCGCCAGCATCCCGACGCACGGAAACCCAATGGTTGTTTATTCCTGTGGACCAACAGATCCTAAACGTTATTATTCTAGTAGAAAGACAAAAAAGTTTGCAAGTAGCTAGTGAATGTTATGCTAGTGCACAACAAGCAGATTTCCAAAATGGCTTCCCGGGCGTAACAAAGCCAGAAGGATCGCTGCCGATCTGATCCTCCCACTTCCAGGCCCTCTATTGTCGGCTAGGGCGCACACTTTAAATCTATTGGAGGAAAGCAACACTGTTGTAACCGCATGCACTGGACAGCTGCTGGGGCTCCGTGCATTGAGAGGAATCACACTATTGTTTAAGTTGACGTTGAACTCATACTGAACGTCCCTGCATCACATCTCTAACCAAAAAAACAACAACAACCTAATTAATGATATTATTATGATGATTATGGCATGTAAGTAAGTAGCTGATACAGCTCACCAATTTATTTCTTTTACCAATCTATTTCTTCTACCTGTGAGAACGTGAAGGCACCCAATCACATTATTTATTAAATACATTTCTATAATTACTAACTAAATCTTCAATTATTTGTTTGTTTCATAATTTTCTATAAAACCCCTACCTGAAGGGAGTTTATATTCTGCAACTGAAACTTAAAAACTTGAACACAGTGGGGACCCACCAAACTTGAACACGGTGGGGACCCACCATGTTCAAATTTTTAAGTTTCAGTTGTAGAATATAAACTCCCTCTGGTCCCTCAACCCCCAGGTTTTCAGCCAAATAAATAAATTGGCCTAATAGAATTAAAGTAAAACAGGACAAGGCCTTAGTTTTAGCTCTGCCCTGTGTAGTTTGTGCCCCATTAAACACTGAGACATACTTGGCTCCAATCTAAGACTGCAGTAAGAGGGAAAAATTAGTCAGTATTGTTGCAACATTGTTACAAACAATAAACCATTGCACTAATGTAACAGAAAAAGTTATTAGGGTCCTCTCTAATAGTTCAGTCATTATGAAACAACACAATGAAAGATGTATGAACTCACAAAAATGTGTTAATTAACCTAACAGCGGGTAATGTACTGCTGATTACTCAAAAAAGTCTGCAGTGTTGTAAGTGTATTTCGGGATTTCCTTGTATTGCTAGAGAAAGGCAGTAGACCACAGCGTGTGATAACTTAGATAAAGCAGAATAACCCTTCCTGTTTTTGTCGATAAAGCAACTATCACTTTGAGAAATTGCCTGTTGGAAACCTGAAAATGTATGACGTATTGGCCCTAAACTCTGCTTCTGGAGTAGATAAAGAGTTTACCCTTTCTGTTTAAGGATACGCAAAGGGTAGAAGCAGCAAAGACAATGCAATGATGCCAACAAAGCACAGCTCATATACCAACCACTGATATGACATGCTGATCAATGGTGCTTGATATCATGGACATGTCAGACGTATGGAATGTGAATAAATGGTTGAATGTTCATAACTCAATAAAAGTGTTTGTGGTAGAGGCCGCAAACTGAACCCACAAAAACATAAGAGATCTTATATTAACACTGACAAGAGCAACACATTTCCCTCAGCACTTCTTGGCTACAGTACAAGCTGTGCCCAAAGCTTTTTTCCCCCCTCTTCAACACAGTGCTTCATATTTGGCCAAAAGATGAAAGGAACTGAAAATATTAACAGACAGCTGCTGGCATAACACCATTCACTGATAACTCACACAGACAATGTGTAAACAAATATTTACTAGAGCACTGCAGACAGATTCAAATTGTATCACAACCAAAAGGTTAATCATTTTGCCAAATCAAACAATCTCCTTTACAATCAAATCCGGATCGAGAATAATCACACTGCTAAGACCCTTATTACTTCTTTATTTGGCCTGTAACAAACAAATACTGGGGAAAAAAGAAACTACCCAGACAATTCACAGGAAAAGAGAAAGACCACTGTCAGAGGAACATGACAAGTCAAGTTAAGTAAAGTTTCCTTAGAGGGCTCGACAATGTCCTATGATATTTATACATGGGTGGTGTGCAGCAGGATGGCAAAACAGCTTAAAACTGGATGTCTCCGATCTGAATCCTGTCAGCACCAGGGGCACTGATTTGCAACCGACCTCTGACCTCTCTGCAGCTGAAGGAGGAATTTTTTTTCACACACAGGCATGAATCTGAATTCTATAATTGAACTGATGAGAGCAAATAAGGTATTGGGTGAGGCGCCACCTGCTGGACAGAAGTCTGGACACTAGATTTAGACAGACTTTGGATCCAATCCCACTGCAACCTTTGGACGTCAGTGGCAGAAGGCGGGCTATCCCTGTGCCAGAGAGTAAACAACAGGATTGTTCACACCCATAGGCTGTATATAAAAAAGGCTCACACCCTGTGTCTCAGCCAAGATAAGAGCCCCAGCAACACTTTTTCATTCAGTATCCATCATGCATTTCTTAAAGCCAGTCACTCTATGTCTTTAACAGCCAAGGACCTTGGACCCTGGAGAAAACTTTTTGCACATGCAAGACGGTAGCTAGATAATGCCATAAATGTATGCAAGACATTTATAATCACAGTTTACACATAGGCAAGTACACGTTTAAGTAAAAAAATAAATAAATAAAATAGGCTGCCCTGAAGCACAAAGTTTGTGTGACAGATTTAAACAAAAAAGGAAGTATGCAAGCTTCGCATGGATGCTCTCCCCTCTCTGATGTAGAGCTCAAGGAAATAACCACAACAGGCAAGAGGCGTCAGCTCAAATAATAACCCTCCACATTATTAATACAGTTAGTGAAAGTAGTGTGTTCAACTAGTCTTTCTCTCTAAAAGAGACCATTATAGATAGAAAGAAATTAGCCTACCTAGCGTCTTGCTACTGCACCGGTCAGGAAAAACAAAAGCTGGATTCAATCTCTAGCCTTGTCTAAATGCTTTCCTGTATGTTCATATGCTTCTTATCAGTACAACCTCTGCAGATAAGACTTGGACCTACTGTACAAAAACCCTAGGAAGACACAACACGTGCTCAACGAAAAAAAAAAATACGGCATCATAGACCAAAACGTTAAAGATATAATCAGGAAACCTAAGAAGTTGTAGCAGCTTTTCATGACAGTTCAGGATAGCACACGTGAATTTAATTGAGTTATCAATGCAGAAGTTTAAACTACTCACATGTTGACTCTGACTGCGGATTAATGCGGGTAAACGCCGGAGACTGTCAGATTGGTTTATCAAGTAGATAGGTACATCCAGTTGGTTAAAGCTTCACAAACAGTTGCACATTTACTTCCCTGAAAAGAGGACCTTGCTCCAACGTTCGCCTTTCCCGCACACAGTCATATTTTCCGTTGCGACCCCAACGTCACATGCGTCAGTCCTTATTTGGTAAAAATGACCAAATATGGGACCAGTCGCAACGCCTTGAAACCAAACTGGCTTTCTATATAGAACAGCATCGCTTAGTGGCCACTGACATAAACAACAACTAACTGAATAAATGAAGACTAAAACACTAGGAGCCGCGCAACTAATTACCTTATCAGTCAATCACTCAATTTACTCACTAAATTACTGCCTCCTTTTTTGCATAAGAATCTTTCAGGGTGTTCAGTAAGAGATGCAGTGGGCTAATTTATATAGGCTCCTACAAAATTATACACTGGCATTTTAATTGCAAAGACTAATAATTACCAAGGAAAGCTTTGGTCTCACTTTTTAATGTATGTAAAGAAATAAACATCGTAGAATGAAAATATTCATACTTTTTTTAATAATAAAATGTGCTTTCCAATTTACATTGCATTAATGTGTATTTTATTTGTAGCCTACTTTGTGCCCCTTCTTTGTCTTTCATCTGTTTTCCACTTATTTAATTGGTTTTGCTTATTTCACCTGGATTAACGACTATATGTGCCCCCCCCCCACACACACACACACTAACACTAAAAATACTGCTTCTCTGAAGTCTGCGTGTACTTGTTTCATGTCTCTGTCAAGACTTTGAGTTCACAGTATTTTGAGACCCCTGTTCAAAGACCAAAAGCAACTCAGTCTCTGAGCAATATTTTTAGACGGTCAGAGAAAACCTGAAAAACAGGACACCTGTCATTTGTGGAATGATGGTGATGTGATCCTATTGTCCCTGAGATCACGTGACCACCTTATGTGAAAGGGAAGATGATTTAGCTTGTGCACAGCTAACTGCTCTGACTATTCATCTCTTTTTAGAGTGAGAGCCCTGTAGGTTCACAGTGTAGCTACATGTTTGATCTTCAGTTACTAACTATGAAATTCTTAATTTTTGTAATGTATATGTGCTATCTTCTTCCTGTGCAACCTGAAGACATGAATCGCTGTAAGTACATGAAACATTACACTTCGGTTAACTTGGTTTAACCAGTCATGATAGTATTTGTAGTTTGGCTAGTCTTGGACTCTGTTGGATAGTGGCTCTAGCCTTTTGACTGTTTTCTTTTTAACAGATACTTATTGTGAGAGTTGTCTAACAGCAGCACAAGGTATGGTGGATAACAGCTTGCCTTAAAAGCAATGGTTTAAAAATGATCAAGACCAAATTATCACTTTTTATAATTCAATGTTTCTCATATGACTTTGTATTTTCTTCAAGACATAGAAAGTAAATAACAACACATGCATACTGCCCTTCAGAGATTGAGAAAGCCATGAAGGAAGTCCCAGCTGAGAGCAGACAGACAGTAGCTAAGAACCTCATCAGTGGGGGTGTGTGTGAGAAACTGCTGTCCTACAAACATGACCATATCTCTAACGACAAACTGATTTCTTCTTGCATTCACTTGTTAGGTAAGGTCAGGATGAAATAACAATGAATTTGCACAGTGATTGAATTTTTACAGTTTAATGAACCTTTTTTTCGTGAATTCCCATTCAGATTCTCATTATGACCAGTTCCATGCAGCTTTGGTGAATAAAGAACCAAAGAATCTGGACATAGTCCTGTGTTATGAGCAGTCCACAGCATGTGTAGGGGTGAAACGCCAGTCTTTTCAGGTAGGCTGTGGGTATATTGCAGATTGAGAAAGTATTATCTATGTAATTAGAATAAATTGACAACCTATCCTATGACAACTAACACTGTTTAACTTTTGTGACAGGATTCCAAAACCACTTTCACAGAAAGTGACATTCACGATCTGCTTCAGGACAACAAGGAAAATGTGCGCATTGCTAAGCCTACATATTCAGGTTCACCTGTGCACTCAAGAGATGAGTTATGAAAGCAGCAACTTTAATTTTGCTTGCCACTGTTGGAATGTGTGATGGCTAGTTGTCATGATGTCACTATGTTATGTGTCATTATAATAAAGATATTATGGAAAGATAGAAAAGCATTTTATTGAAAACCTGGACGGTACATTGTACCCATTACAGCCTGTAGAACTGCACATGGCCTCAACTTTCTGCAGTGTAAAATCAGCGAGATAAGCTTCAGACTCGCTATACTTCATTTTAGAATTATTCAGAGAAAATATTTTCCATTTGTTGAATACACTGTGTCCAATTCCAATTCTCAACTGATCCCCCTTGTCCCCTAAACCCACCAACTGGAACTTGTAAGTACTCCATCTATTTAATAAGTGCAAGGAGATCAAGTAAAGAAGCGCACCTAAAGTGCATAGTAAGTGCTAGTTAGACATGTTAGGGTGTTAAGGGTGTTAGGAGAGGAGGTGCTCTCAGAAGGGATGAGTATTCAAGAGATTCTTGAAGATAGAGGAACGCCCCTGCTCTGATAGCATTCAGTAGCTTGTTCCACCATTGGGGAACCACAAATGAGAACAGTCTGGACTATGGATGCCTTGTGTGCAGGAATGGCAATGCCAGACAACATTCCTTGGAGGAAAGCAGTGGCCAAGGAGAAACATAAGGCTGTATTATTGATTTCAAATACATGGGTGCAGACCCAGAAGTTACTCTGAAGGCAAGCATTAGTGACTTGAATTTGCAAATCCTTAAATTAATTTGGGTTTAATCAGTAGGACTAGGGCCATGTGAAATTCCAGAATACTAAACAATGCACAGGGAGTGGCCCCTCACATATTTTTTTATGGTCCTTATGGATTAAACTTGTAATGAACAATATTTAACTATCCTTTCGATGGTAAAAACCGGTATAGTAGTAGTAAGCAGTATATAAACACATAAATGGTTTATAACACGTTATAATGTAGTCGTGGTAAAGTATTTATTTATGTATAACTCCTCCCGTGAGCACTAATAAATTAAAGCTAGTGTATAAACAGATAATGATATAGTAAAACAAAATCTATTTTAATTAGAGAAGTCATAATTGTTGACAAACTGTAGATTAACAAACATTTAGAAATGTGCCCGTAGCTGCGTACAACTACATCGTGAAATTAAATAATATGCTATGTATAAAATGCTAAATAGGGGGCGTGAACATGAAGCCTTACCTATTAAATCTTTCACAAATTAGGTGATTTAAGACCGAAATGGTGAGGTAACTGTTCAACAAAGATCTCGTGCCATTTTTGTCACCATTTCATCCTTCACTATTCGCTCTTGTTTCCTTACAAACTTTTCCCCGCTTTGCGTGGTCACAGCAGTTGAAAAAAACATTCTATAGAACACTCTAGAATCACTTATTTGCCTGCGAGTGAATAAAATTGTTGATGGAATCTTCAGAGAAGGCAACTAGAAGCGGTGGAGTGTACCGTATGGGAACGTGGTCCGCGTGCTGTTGCTAGGAGGCGCTGTTGGAGCCCGGAAGAGTTGAAAATGATGGTGGTGATGATGGTGGTGGTGGGCTCCCCGAGATTGAGAGGAGGAATATAAGGTTCACGTTATTATCGCCAATTTCTTTCTCTTTTTGACGTTTGTCAGTGTCTAACACTCGCCGTCGGGAGAAAGGAAAGGACATATCGCTTTTCATCCATTGCGAAGGTAAGTAAATGTCTACGAGTAATAGGCACGGGTTTATCAACTGTCATTCTGCCAAGGTACATCTGTACTAAAACATCTGTACTAAAAAAAGCTGGAAAATCGAGGGTTTCTTAGATATAACCGTCAAAACCACCGGTATAAAGCTTGCTCTGTAGAAGCCGGGTACAAAAAGAAAATGATTCCCACCTTTATTGTGTAGCTAAGCTGTAATCAATCAGTGTGGGGTAGCTGCTGTAATGAGGCGACTGCAGACCACTAGGTTATAGTGGCAGCATCGAGGACACCAGGCTGAATAAACCCTTACCGAGGAATGGTAATTTTCATAGATGAACTCTATGGAGACAGTACCTATCACAACACACCATGTTTTAATTTCATACATTATCTGTGCGCGTAGGCTAACGCCCTGTGTTACGCTACCTGTCTGTGCAGGATCTTATACTATGTATTTGCTAAAAGACAATTCAGAAATAGAAACATTGCATCGATTAGACACATTTCCATTAGACGCGGAAATGGATGTCAGTCACCAGCAAGGTCTGACGGAAAGGAATGGCAGGAATGTGATGAGTGTGATAAAAACACTTAGGGCAGACAGAGACTCTTTTGTTGGAGGCGATTTGTCCTGCTCTTCCACTTATGATCCCAGACTCTTACCTCCAGTGATCCACACCCAGTGCATCCTAAGCTCTCCTATTCACTGACTTGTGGATGTCCATCTAATTCCACACTCTCCATCTAATTTAACAGCTGGGTGACGAGGCTACATGGTGTGTGTTTCCTATTCAGAGTGTGGATGTGTGGGTCCAGAGATGGAAAGCTATGAGGAGTTCTGCCTGCGGAGTTTGGCCATACTGCAGGAGGAGGGGAAGTATAAGAAGATGGCATGTGAGCCACTGTGTTCCCTGAAGGCTTGCTCTGTCATCCGCTTCCATGGAAGAGCTGTGCTTTCACCACTGGTAAGGAAGAAATAAACAGGCATCTGAACTTATACTAAAGGGACACCACAAGATGTAGCTAGACAGAAGCCATAGCTAATGGGTGTTTTTAAAAGATTTGCAGATGGTAAACATTGTAAAGAAAGATGGCTCTGCTTTTGAATGACAAAATGTTTGGTTGGTTTCCCGATAGAGTCTGTGTATCTGTCACTCTGCTGCTGTGGCTGTGTTTTTTAATGTCTATGCTGCATGGCAACAGGAAGCATAGTTTACACTTTTCAGGTACATTAACAATTAGAAGGATGTTATGATACCTATCTAAAACACAGATGTGCAGAGAAACATACTCAAATAGTTTCAATTCAATTAAAGGTAACATTTAGGGAAAAACACATTTCTTTGTGAGACCTACATAATATATCTAAAATACATCAGCTGACTAGTCCCAATTAGATCAGCAGTCGGCATCGGAAAAAGAGAGAAGGTAATTGATGACGAGGAACATCAAGGCTGTTTGATATTAGTCAGGAGAATCTATCTCCTGGTAACTGCTGACAAAATTAGTTTTCAGGAATAGCCAGGTGGGGAAGAGGGCAGTGTGAGGCCAGTGGCAGATTTCTTTCCCACTCAAACAAAGGAGACACAAACATATACTAGAATAAAAGTGATTGTGTGAACTGAAAATAAATCAACCCTCATTAAATGTATTTTGTTTATTGGAAACCACATCATAAAGAGTTCTTGACTAATCTTTTCTCTATATTGCTTGAGTATATGAAGTGGGAAATTGTATTAATTGTAGCTTTGAATGAGTGTTTATTTTCTTTTTCCAGTTGAGTGCAGAGCAGCGCAAGGAGATGTGTGGCCACAGACAGAGGGCGGTCCAGCAGGAGGTGGACAGGCAGAGCCAGCAGAGGAACAAGCTTATGGCCCGTGTTCAGGTCATACTGGATCAAGCTCAGGTCAGTAGCACAGTATGTACCCGGTCACAGGCCTGGTTGGGATCTGGTAGGATGATCCAGTGGAAAAAGAAATTTTGCATGTTTTGTGAAATGAATGTTATATTGTGGAGGCTTACGATGTGCATTCAATAAGTGGAAATAATACCAAAATCAGTCCATTCTATAGAAAAAGTAGGTAATAGGCCACGTCCAAATTCTTATGACAGTTATACATCATAGATTTTATTAGTCTGTTCAGAAAAGCAAATGTTTTGCCACTTTATTTTTCATAAACAGATATTATCTAAAATTTTAAAATATTAGATAGGTCTGTCTGTCAGTCCCACAATATAGCACAAAAACTGAATTACAGTCTGTCTCAGAGTCTCTAGTGACATTTGCAGACTTGAATACAGGTTGTCTGACTCAACACTTTCTCCAGTAGGCTATGCTATTTTGACCTGCTTGTGGCCCTGTTTTGTCAACTAAACATCCAAAGCAATATTATCAACTTGCAAATCTGCTCTAGTGATGAAATTCCAGGTATTTCAATAAATGTGATTGGTCACTTATTGTCTGTAGTTACTATAGATTCTGTCTAACTACAGACATGGTGATGTGTTGGTACTAAAAGTAAAATTCAAGGATGGATATGTGTTTTTACTGAAAAACCAACATCAACAGTCCAGACTGATCTATGTATTAAAATGTTGGGATAAATATCAGTGACTTTTACAGTTTGGGCACCTAACATTTAGTTGACAATCAACACCGGACTATATTTTCTTGTTTTAATTGTTTGCAGGTCAGTGTGCTGAATGAACAGTTTTAAACCAATGCAATTCTAATAAAATAGGGCAAATAATACCATCAGTTGGTAATTCTTAATTGCTACTTTAGATTTTGTTTTATTTGATGATTCAGCATCATTACTTATTATCTCTGCACAGATACATAAAGTAACAAGTGACGAGGTTGACAAGCTGCCAGTTTCTAAGTCTGCAACAGTCAGTGGCTACACCCTGGTCACTGACTCACCTGGACTTCCCAGAGATGCTGGATTTGGGCTTCAGACAAATGATCGGCCTGCCACTCCATGCTCTGAGACCCCCACCCTCAATGGCTACAAGGCAGTGGGGGAAGTGAAGGTGAACAGGGAAGAGGAGAGTGAGGAGGAAGAAGAGGAAGAAGATGACATTAGTTTGGACAGCCTTCTTAAGAAATCAAGAGAGTATGTGAAGAGAGAGCAGAGTCAGCAGGGGTCAAAAGTTGTCCAGAATGTCACTGGGACTGCCCCGTCTGAGACCATCTCTGACAAAGACAATAAGAGCTGTAGTCCCATGGGGGACACAGGTGTCGAGTTCGGATTCAGCCTGCATCACAGTCCTATTGGCACACCTCAGACCCAGATCCAGCACCAAACTCTGTATGACCCCAGTCTCCAACAGTCTGGCTGCCTCTCACCTAGTCTACCTGACCAGTATGCTCGTCTCCCCAGTCCAGAGTCCAGCATTAGTCCCTGTGCACGGAGACGCAGACCGCGCCCAGTTTCTACAGGTAATATCCATATTTCGTTTCCCATTGGCCCAGCAGACCTTATCCCCCGAAGCCCAGGAAGGTCAGTGGAAGGTGCTTGCATGGCAGATTGGGGAGAAGCTCTCACAGGTTCCACAAAGTTCTCCGATCACTGGGGCTCAGTGGGGAGTGAAGGCGGGGGTTGTGTTAGCAGGAGTAGCAATCGTCGATCCAGTCACTGTGGTAGCAGTCCAGTGCATGAGACCTGTAGCCCCATTAGTGCCTCAGTGCCCAGCCCGATGGGACACCATGACCATCTGGCTACAGGGTTTCGCCGGCGCTGCCACACCCTGGACAGCCAGTTGCATACCTACCCGTCTGGAGTTGAACACATAGACCGCAGCCAGGAAAGGGTCCCTCGTTTTATGGCCGGAGTTACATGGATGGCTCCAAGTCGGCGCACCCCTGCAGCCCCCTTAAACCAGTCATATGAGGTAGAGAATCCCTCACCTTCTCTGCTGAGGCCCCGTGTGACTCTTGACTTGGCTCAGGTCTCACTCAGGATGGAGCCTGAAGATCCTCAGGGGCCAAACAATGGAAGGATCACATCAACAGTCCTCAGAAATGCACCTGAAACACAGGCCTGCAAGACAGGTGAGTCTCTCTCACACTGTATTTACTAAAATCTAAAGAGTTCAATTCTGTCATAGCCACTGAGATTACTGTTCCTTCTACTGCAGCATTTAGGCAATATTGTGTGATAGAGAGGCAGAGAAAGTGAAGGAAAGTGGTAAAACATTTTAAAAGGTAAAAGATAAGTGACTTTACATGCGTATGTTTGTGCACATCAACAGAGGAGACCCACAGGCGAGCTCAGGCTCTAGAGGACATGCAAAGGCGTCTGGAGGAGGAGCATGCCTTGCAGATGTCACTGCTTCTGGCTGAGCAGGAGAAAGAGCAACAGCGCCTCTGTCTGGTCAGCACATGGAATCACACCATATCTGTTTGACATAGAAGTAGAGACCAAAAATTTTGTATTTTTGTGCAGTATTATACTGTATCTGTTATTTACAGATTGTCAATAAAGCAACAAGAAAACATACTAAATGTACTTTTTTTGTTTAGTTGCAATGCAACTAAAGTGCAGAAGTGTGCATTTATTCTCTTGTTTTTTTGTTTTCTGCTTGCTCTAGAGAAAAATAGATAATATTGCACTTTGTATGTGTGTCTGTGTTTTTTTTAAATCATGAATATGAATAAAATAAAAGTAGTGACATGTACGTGTGTGTGTGTGTGTGTGTGTGTGTGTGTGTGTGTGTGTGTCTGTCTATGTATGGGGGGATGTGTGTGTACCTGTATGCATGTGTTCAGGAGCTTGAGGAGACAGAGAGAAGACTGAAGGAGCAGGGGTGCGTGCTGCCTCTTAGTGGAGATGCTTGTGGATGGAATCGTAGGTCTGTAAGTGACAGCTTTTCTGCTGTGAGCCCCTCCTGCCCAGGACTAAGCCCTGCCCAAACACCATCCGAGAGATCACCTGGACACAGTATAGGTACTACTTCACCAAGTTCATTTAGCACTGTATTAGAGAACAGTGGTGACAAGCTATGGCTTCAGCCTACACTTTTTCGGTCCAGTTTTGTTTCTGGTTTATCTTTTGTTGTAGTGCTAAAAAAAGCATTAACTTTATGTTTATTTGTTTATTTGTTGTCTATCTACCAGGGTATTTGAGTTTTATAAGTAGGAAAATGACAGAAATAAACTAAACTAAACTAAACTCAGTGATAGATGAATATTGTAGATCATTTACTCATGCCAGAGGTTTTTTTTACTAACTTAAACATTCAACATTTAAACAAGGTATAACTGTTATTTTTAGGCATTCAACAATTACAGTTCCCATGAACCTCATCAGTTATAGATAGCAAGTGCTAACAAAATACGGTCATAAAACAGAGCAGCAGGACTTTGGCACTCTGCTCCGCATCACTGCCAAGTTATGCCAAATTTAAAAAGTAAAGATAGTGTAGTGAAAGATGAGTGGGCTGTATTGCAGTTAAGGATGGGACAATAATGGTTATACTGTAGTTAAATATCCTGGTAAAGGACAGTTACTTTGTTTTTATTGCTGTCATTACAGCCATACACAACTATGAACACGGAGCATCAGTAATTTTGGCAGGAGAAAGAACCAGAATGCAACATTTTTCACCCGAGACTGTAAAAAAGAGATACACACTGACATGTTTTAGACAAGATAATTAAATTGCAATCATGGCGTAATCTGATCACAACAGCAGTAACTACTAAAGAACTTTGTATGCTTCAATTGAAAGATTTGTTACTCTCTCCAGGTTTTCCCAGTCCTGTCAGCTCCAGCGTGTGCTCTCCCTCTGTCCAGCCTCCAGTTTATCTGTGGGGACCCACCTGGGCAGCTAGCAAACCTCGATCAAGGCTAAGTCTGGTGGGCATATCCTAGTAGAAAAGAGTGAATGTGTGTGTGTTTGTGTGTGGGTGTGTGTCTGTGTGTGTAACACATTTCTAAGTGGCTTTACAGTATTGACACTGATGATTTTTGCAAGATAAGTGTTGGGCTGCTGCCTCACATAGTATAATAGAGACAGAATTTTCTCTTTGGGTGAGCTGCTAAACACTGCTAATACATCCATTAAACCCTCAACTGAGAACCATCAAATTGTAGGTGAATGAAAACCGACCTTTGCCAATTGTAACAGTCAGACCCAAATTACTACTGGTTTGTGTATGCGCACTCAATCAAACAACCTCACTACAAATATGAACAAATGTACAATGCAAATGTCCTCAATAATAAATATGGTACACTATTATTGTACCTAGTATTCCTTTCTTTTACATTGTCATCCATATTGCCATGAACTGTCTGTAATATTCCAAGCAAAGTTTTGTGTATTTGGCACCCCAAGTGGACTTTCTGGAAGACGGCAGAAAGTCCACTTGTGACCCCCTTGATGAATTGTGGATTTGGGTAGCCCAAGGCACCTTTGGACTTGTCATTAACACTCCTGTTAACTCCGCAAGTTTGCAAGATCTGTGAAGTCTGGACATTTATATTCACTGTGTGACAGTGTGTGTTTATACAATAGATTGACCTCTCTTCTACAAACCGTCTCTTTGTTCCTGTCGTCACATGCTGTTCCTGTCCCATCTTCTTGCATCCTTGTTGTGATTTCCAGGTTCTGACACCAGAGCAGCAGAGGGCATTCTGTCGAATTGGCGCCATCACTCGTGGCTTCCTCACACGCAGACTTCTCAAAACAGAGAAGGTCAAACACCTGCACCAGACCATAGTGGTGAGATTACACTCTTACATACACACTAAAACACACACAAGAACATACACACACAAAATTTGCTCAACACGTTAAAAACACCAATGCGGGTGTAAGAGGAATTATTTCATAAATTAATTAATAAGTTGTGTTAGTGAATGGGAAAAACAACTGCATGTTTGTGAATGTGTACTGTATATACTGTATCCGTCCATAGGATACCCAGGAGTTCATCCGTTCATTCCAGACTGAGGCTCCGCAGAAGAAATGCAGCCTCTCAGCACAAGATCTCTCTTTGCAGGAGAGAGTAAGAGCACAGGTATGAATATGTAGTTACTGTCTATCAACAGCAGAGGTCCATCTTTCTTTGTATTTATATGCATGTATCTCTTTCGTCCCACAGTTACGTGCAGCCCTTTATGATATCCATGACATCTTCTTTGAAATGCCTCTCGGGGATCGATTAGCATTGCTGCAGCAGGACAGGGAGCTCCGTGTAGAGAGGAAGATGCGAGACATGGTAACCAGAAAATATGGGCCAATAATCAATCACATAGCCATACTTAATCAGATGAAGGTTGTGGCATCCTTTTAAAAAAAGTACAGACATATTTTCACTCTTTTGTCTCCTGAACTAAAAAACTAACTTGAGTTTGCACTGGAGCAGGTTCACTTTTTGTGGGGTTTGTTTCTGAGCTTGCCAGCCATACTTTTGTCTGCATAATCTGTGTAATGTTCAACAAGGTATAAATCTAGAGATTCATGCCTTTGTGTGGCAGCCTTATAACATCCTTTGTCTTATGCTGTCAGTGTCAGTACGCCTATCATAAACTGTGTTCTTTCCTGACTATGTCGAACCTGCAGGAGAAAACCAAGTGCCACAAGGAAAGAATGGTTCTGTCTGCGGCCACACAGAGGTCTCTGGACAGGAAAAAGAGGTAAGATGGGAAGGAGGAACACTGCCCTCCATAGCATATGGAGTTAATGTTTTGAGATCCAGTGATCAGCAGTTTTTATTTTCTGTAATTTCTTCAGAGTTGGTGAATCCCCAGCGCAGGCTAGGAAGATGCATCAGAAGCCAAAGAGCCCTACTACTAACAGGTACCAAACACAGCTGTGAGATTTTGTTTCACCTTTGTTTTGTGCTTAATATTTTCTGGTAGTGTGCTTTATAAGGTATAATCTTGGGTTCATTGGCCCCAGAAAATCAGTTCTCCAAAATACATTGTTTTTTTTCCTTTCTCAGAGTCCTGAAGCCAAGCCAAGGCCAAAATTCTCCTGTCCCAGGGCAGCTGAACCGCCAGGGGTGAGTTTATACTTCTTTCAGTTTAACCATGTTCGACATTTGGAAACTTTTCATACGCTGTTTCCATTTCATGGATCATACTTCACTAACTTGCACAACAGTCAAGTTTTGTTGATTTTGAATAATAAAATCTAATGCCGACCATTTTAATCACCTCCTGCTAAAGTCAGCAGTGGACATAATCGTATGATTTCAGCGTTAACTGATGTCTTTAAAGTCATCACAGCACGACACTGGCTGTTTCCTCACAGGAGCTGGTACAGAAAGACCCCGGAGGAGAGGGTCAAGCGCTCAGACAGCCTGAAAAAGCAGCACTCTCTGGGTTAACAGGTGACTCAACATCTCCTGACCTGTGAACTTGAATTTTTAGTCTTTTAATACCAACACTGCACCACTGAAACTCCAGTAAGCGCTGCTAACAATTTGATGGTCTGTAATGTACCTTATTGAAATTCAAATGATTGTATACAATATCACAATGCCATTGTTTTAACTGTTGTAGCTATAGTTTTTAGTGTCAACACATGTAGCTGGAACACTAAATGAGTAAGCAGGTACATTAACATTTCTTTGAAAGAAAATGAAAAGTATCTGTACTTAAATGCAGTCTAGAAGAAGGTCAGAGCTAAAGGGAAAAAAGTTATAAAATGTATCTGTGCCTAAGAACTATGCCTTTGCTATGTGTAATATTTTAGCATGCCTATATTCACCAAATGCATTCATAAACTTCTAGTGCTTATAATTGTAAGTGAATTTCCAAACATCAGTTTCATGCTGACACTCACTAATGTAGTTTAAGTGTGTATAATTTATTAATTTTAAGTTATTTGTCTAAGGGCTTTGAGAACCAATTTGTGCTTTGTTTCTTTATTTAACAGTGCTGAGTTTACAGTACTTTGAGACATTTCAGTGTGTTTCAACATTTGGCTTAGATTAAATGCCTAATGAAAATTAAAATCTAAATGTATTTGTTCACACACTGGCACGCTGTTACATTAATGTAGCTTCACATACCAGGAGATGCACAGCGGGCATTCACTGTTGACTTTTCTCTAGAAGTAGAACTAAATTATCATATGAAATGCATGCCAAAGTCTCTAAAGATTTTCCCTTAATTCCCATTAAGTAAATAAAGGAAATAAGGGTTAGACTCAAGAACATTAATGCGAACAAATGATCAAACCACATATTAAGAAATCGGTAGACTTTATACTTCTGTGACAGTAGTATTTAATGTGGTGTTGTTCACTGACATTGCTGTGCTAATTTTTTATTTTTTATTTTTATTTAAAATGCCAGATTGTCATGTTTTCTATGACTGGAATAAATTGTGAAATTATTTGAACTTTCTTGATTCTGATTCATGATGATTTTAGGCCTTACTGCTTCAAGTGCTGTAGCTCTGCAGTGACTCTAATATCGCTTGTATGTGTTAGGTAGAGGCAACCATACACTTACACACATTTACTCCTGATATCCTCTAAGAAGAAAATTTTCAGCTGACCTGTCCTTCCTTGGTGTATTGTAATGACCTGCATTGCTGAACAATCTGTCAGGTTTGACGTCGAACAGGTGCAACACAATGACTCCAATAGCATGGCACAAACATTCAGACTATTCTTCTTTTGTACACCATTAATCATCTCACAATCCCAAAATGTATAAACAGTAAATGAAACTATCTGATATTCAATAGTAAAATGCGACTTATACATTGTTGCATCAATATTAAGAATCAGTTAGTCTGTAGAACGAGTACTTAGCTGATTCTGCACTTCTATAGAATTTTAAATGCAGGACTTTTACTTTGAGGTATTTGTACTTTCATTGAAGTAAAGCAGCAGAGTACTTCCTCCACTACTGCCTAACATACCTGTTTACACATTGAAGTGGAGCTGACATTGACTACTTGCCAGTTTTGTTTTGCTTTTTGTACCAAAGCAACTTTTTGTCCATCAACACTTGGAGCTCTGTACAATCATACCTGCTGTAAGTTGATGTGGGAGTTATAAAATATAATTACAGGGTGGGTGGGGCTGACAGCTTAATTAATTTCCTAATTATAACACAACCACTTTGAAAAACGTATTTCATGAATAAACTGCAGCTAGAGTAGGAATCCAGAGATCACACAGACTCATATTCGTTTCACTGTTTTTTTTTTTTTGCTTTGTTTTAATAAAAGTTGCTTTGTATCAAAGGATCCTGAACTATAAAATGTATTTCTGGTTGTGAAATAAGACAAAAAATAATCAGATTAGCACCAGAGCACAAATTTTAAAACTGGTTTTGTGTCTTTGTGTCAGAAAATAAATGTGAATGGAATTTGGTTTGTGCTGAATGACGCATTGAGACATTACAGCTGAAAAAGTCAACAGCAACATATCTTTCCAGAAATAACGTGTCATTGCTCAGGACAATCCAGAGACTTTTGCACTACTTCTCCAGTAAAGTACTTCCTGTACAATACAATTGACAGTGAAGTCTGTGGGAGTTGTTCATTTGAGAGACAGGCATCTAAAAAATTCAGCAGATAAAACCAAAACTATCTACTCTGCTAACAATCACTTGGTATACGTGGAAAGATACACTATGTCCTTTTGTAAAGTGAGTGAACTGAACTGAAACAGGATAAAGGGGTTATGGTTCATATGAGGTTAGAAATGCTCTGGAACATGTTGAGACCAATATGCAGCCTGGGAGTGCTGCATGAGAAGACAGCCTCATAATGTTTGAGAACATTTTGTATCTGAATTAAACATTTTGTGTGAGAAAGTACCCTTCAGGCATATGAGATAAACCACTTATTAAACGGGGTGATCCACAGCAACATTCCACAGCTGAAATAGACCTATGAACATATTTTTTCACTTTTGATGAAGTTGTTCTTCCTACAGAAAAAAAGTTTGAACTTTATTTGTGTAGCCTTTAATCACAACATGAAAGTTGCCAAACTGCTGAGTCACCTAAAGGTAAGTGAAGGTTAGAAAATAAACAAGAAAAAACAAACACACATAAAGCCTGGCATACACCTTTTCACAGAGGGATCCCCTTACCAGCACTCTCATGGCCAGTAGCCTACACAAAGAAAGCGTCTTTAGAAGCATTTATTTCCTCCATCACCGCCCATTGCACAGAACAGATCCGGTCTATTTTAGCTTGGAGTCTATTGCATCACTCGGCCACACTGAAGTGTAATCTCTATGGACTGCATAAATCACAATAATCTCACGCTATTCATGTGTTGTGAACTTTTTAATGGTATCTGTGATGACTGACCAGGCTCCCAGTGTCAGCTTTCTGGTCTAATTTTTCCTCTGTAGCAGGCAGGAAATCAATAAAATCAATGAATCCATACAAAAAACATTGCTGATTTCTTCCTGTTGAGCACACATGAAAGCTATTTTTGTCCAGTAAATTTCTGCTGTCAGTCAGCCTGGTGAAGACACTTCTTCCAGCTGCTCTCCCCTCAGCTCCTCTATGCTGCTGACTGGTTCCCGAAATATCAGAATGTGGAAAACATGTGATTTCAGTGACTGACTGTGGCATGATTGTTGGTGTCAGAAGGACTGGTTTGATTGTTTTTATACCATATCTATCATATTCATGCATTTATAATCAGGTCATAGTGGAGCAATGGGAATACATTTTTTGAAAATATACATGTAGCAGGCATGTTCAACCAGCATGACAGCAACTCATAACAAGTAGGCTGGAGTAGAAAACAAAGGAACCTTTGTCAAGTGCACAGCTAGTGCACAATCTGCACTTTCACATCAATGTGGACTACTAATTCTTTGAAAGAACCATGTTGAGAGATTATAATGAAAAATGCAGAAATTTTAACTACACTTAAAGTACTTTATTTCAAAAGTGCAGAAGCTAACAGCAATACCATTGAAAATTGATTTAATGTTATAAATACAGTAAAGATTTAACATTCAGATAACTCTTCCCTAAAAGCTGTTCTACTCACAACATCAAGGGTGACAAAAGAAACAGTCAAGAGAACTTCAAACTGTAAATAGTTCAAAAATCTTAAAGACTGGCCTCAACAAAGTTTACAGATGTTAAAAAGAAAAATCATCAATCACCAAAGTGCCATGTTTAAAGGCCTCCCAGCCATGCAAAGCCTAGTGCTTAATTCAGCAACTCTTTCACTTTTCTAAAATCTAGGGTTTTTATATATTTGTGACTATCACTACAAAGACATCTTACGTCAGCTAATTTGTAATCATCAGGTCAGTCACTTGGAGCAACAGATGGCAGGATCAGCTTTATCATACAATATACTATATCAAAAACATTCAGTCAGTGCAGATTACTTTTAAGAATGAAAAACTATGAAAAAATAGTGCAGTAAATAACTGAATGAGCAAAAAGTCGTTTTTTTCTCATCTATTTCTATTTCCCACACGAAAACACGTAGAAATAATTATTTTGCAGTAAACAAAGGTTTTGTCTTTGAACATGAAGGTAAAATAATGATTCAAGATCATTACTTGAAAAACCTAAAGTTTATGTGAAATCCATCCTACAATTACACCTTGTATTCAAGCTTCAAGGTTTAATTTAAACAATCATAAAATCAGCAGAACTCCTCTCCCAGTCAACCAACACCAAAGTCATATAATAAAATCATGACAGAAAAACTGTGTCATACAAAAACTGTTCATGCATTAAAAAAACAGAACCTTTGGGGCATCATAGTGGCCTAGCGGCATAGACATGTACCATGTAAACCACAATGTTCCTGGTTTGAATCAGGCTGTGGACCTCTGCATATCAGCCACCTGCCTCTGGACTATAATCAGTTAATGACAAAAATTTCCTACCAAAAAAATCTGTAATCTCTGCATGTAATCTGCAAAAAAATAAAATAAAAATAAAGTCAAAGTACACAACAAACCAAGACTCAAAGAGAACAAGAATAAAAACTTGAACATGGTTGAGAACCAATCCCAAGACCTCATGCCTGCAGAGACATTCAGTGGGTCATCAGGCCTCTGCTGCTTCTCTCCACTGAGCAAACCTGAAACATCCACCAGAGAGATTAACAGCAGAGTTTTGACATTGAACAGTGATAACAAATCACATCAACCATTACTGAACATTTGTCCTACAAATGTGAGGACAGCTGCGCACACTGGAACACAAACTCCTACCATCTGTTTGAACGCTCGGTTTGGATAAACAACGTACCTGCTGAAGTCACAGACTCAGAGCAGCGGATGGGCCGGGTGGATCAGAGCTAGAGTAATTCAGATTCAGAATAATAAGAATAATTTAGAATAAAAACATCTCATAATCCACACCCTTTAGAAAACGTTTGGAGACATTTTGACAAAAGTTTTACCCAAGTAGTGACATTTCTTCATCTGGGCTGCCGATCAGTTCATTGTAGTGTCTCTTCACCATGTCGAGCTCTGCTGCAACATCTAAAAAAAAAAACACAAACTAAATGTGTAAAATAAAAGCCTTATTGGAAATCTGTTGATTTATTAATTTCAGTGATATATTTACAAACTTCTCAGTGATCTAAACAAATGCTTTTAATTCGATATGTTACCTACCTGGGATTGAGTAATCATCTGTCTTGAGTGACAACTCAATTGATTCCTTCAGGGTTTTCTCCAGTTTTTCCAGGATATACTCCTAATTCAGCATCAAAATCACTCATCATTACTTATCACCCACATAGGCAAATATTCTGTTCAACAGTTATTAAATCACACAATTAACTGTTTCCAGATAACCCTACATTGGTTTTGTGTTTCTGCCTTATAATAATATCAATGATTGCACAGTTATGACAAGGACTGCAGTGTTTCAGCAGTAAAAGCTTTCAGAATGATGTATATTCCACTTTTATATAGAAAAAGCCTTCATGTAGATGATGAACTAGAATCATGGATAAAGATAAACATGTACAGCACAACATATTTTACTATATCATTCTGTTTAATTAAAAAATATAACAAACCTTCAAGTCATTCAGTTGCATCAACATATGATCTTTAGCCTGATCAAACATGGTGTCCTTTGACTCAAGTACATGCCTCTCAATGGTGTACCTCATCTTCTCCAGTGAGCCCTGTCCCCTAAATTCTGCTGCTTCTACAATAAAAGAGAAAACTGTTGTCAAACATAATGTTTCTGCACAAACATGATGAGTGGATGAGTGAATGAATGTGTATCATCATAGTGACACTTTGTATATATCATGATCTTCTTTATTACTTTTATAGCAGTCATGCATGTTTGCCTCGATTGTCTCTGTCAGACTGCTGTAGATTGTTTTCTTACGCTCCCGGATTTTTTTGTTGAGTTTCATCTTAATCTTTTCCTCCTTAAAGAGAGAACACAGAGTATAGAGCAACATATTTTATACATATACCTTGTTGGAATATGGAATATAGGACGATAATATTAACATAACATAATATTAACATGTTTTACCTCTGTCTGGAGAAAAGTCAGGTGCAGTTCAACCTCTTTGTACTTTTGTATCAGCCTCTCTGTGTCAAGTGAAAAGGCAGTGATGGCTCCATTGAACGGTCCACATTTTCCTTCATTTCTGAAACATGTAAACAAGTATATTATGTATAATTTGTATAAATATGCTGTCTTTGATGATTCTCAGTCATCCAAGTCAGGGAATCTCAAAGGAAACTGGACTTGCTTGAGGTTCTTAAAAACATGTCACCTCTCGTCTGATAGGTTCCTGAAGAAGCTTCTCCTAAAGGCTTCTGAAAAAGCCTTTCAGGTGAGAGGTGAAACATCTTTAAGAACCTCAAGCACGTCCAGTTGTCCAGCTTAGATATATATACGTTATATTACATTATAATATGAGGCAGAATTTCTACATTCTAGACATTTTGCATAATTTACAAATGGGCCAACAAAGGGTTTTATATCCTCATTAAGTAATTTCTTACGGGAAGGTCTTCCTGAATTCCTCATCGATGCTGTCAGTCAGGCATGAACTTAACTTCTCATTGACATTTATTTGTCTCTGTTTTTTTGTTTTGTAGGTGCCGTTGTTCTCAACTACATACTTTAATGTCTTGTGAAAACTGCTACCTATTGACCCTCTCTGACCTGGAGCCTTTCTCTGAAACAAAACAGAAATAACATCTTTAGAGACATTTTCATATGAGGTGCAAAATCATAATCATCATTATAAAAGTGTAATTAAAATACATACAGGATATAAAATGGATTTCAACTTTGCTTCACATAAACGTTTTGAATCTTCAACCCCCTCAGTAAGGCATTTTTCAAAAGCCTCAGAAGCCTCTTCCACGGGTTTTCTGACTTTTTCAAGTTCCTGCCTCATGTTTTCTTCAAGTTCTGTGCACACCTCTTTCTTTTTTCCAGCCTGAAATCAAACACACATTTACTCATGAAATCTTGTTGGTCTTGAGTATGAACACCCTTTAATTGCTGTGGTTATACGGCCTCTCTAAAGTAACCCAACTTCAGTAAATCAACAACCTTGATGGATACATTTTCTTAGGAGTGACATTGCATGTAGACCCTTCCAGTATTTAATTGGCATTAAGATGTAGTTACTCCATTAGTCAGTAAGAAGTCATTTGACTTTTCAATGTTTTCACTGCATTTTAGCATAATTTAATTATTTACTATGAATATTATTATTTTCTGGGAACATTAATAACAATTCAGATGATTAAACACAATGAAAGAGGTTTTATTACTTGATCTTACCACTTCCCTGCATCTCGCTCCTTGAATCAGAGAGAGAATCCCATAAGCTCCAGACACATAGTTTAATGTCACTGAGTGACAGTCATTGAGCTCTTGCAGAAATTCCTGCAGTTTGGGTATTTCTGTGGAAAAAAAATGCAATTTGCATGTTACATACTTAAATCACATACTTTTATACTCATATACACTTTTTGCATAAATTTAAGTGTTTAAAATAAACTAAAACAAAATATGTATTAGAGCTTTATATATTCTGTCATGGTGACTTCACCTACCAGTGTCATCTCGCTGTAGATATTTTCTTTTCAGAGACTCTTTGGCGCTCACTGTAAATACTTTGAAACACTCATCACTGAAGTGTTTCTGAAAAGGAGAAAAAGATTTTGATTTTAACATCGACTTATATAGGCTGACAGAAAGTCTAACAGATTGTCTACAGCTGCAACTCACCTTAATCGTGTTTTCTGCTTTGAATTGTGTCATCACTTTTTCCTTGGCTTTCATGTTTCTCTTGAATATGAGAGCACGAACAGCAGCTGCTGAACTATGAAAAAATATTTGTATCAAGTGGCACCTCATACAGTGTCTGGAGCATTGAAACCTGTAATTCTAACATTTATTTTTGTTATTTTTACATACAGTCATCTTTTTACCTCCCAGTATAAAAGTTCAATGATTTTTTTGTTAAACTTGTATCTGTCACTGACCATTTATAATGAAAAATGCAACACTCTACATTACAAGGTCTGTGATTTCCTGGTAAGTAACATTTTTTTTAGTTTTTTAACAGTTGTTGATTTCTAGAGGAATTTCACTAAAATAACTCCCCAAGTGACTTTTTATTGTTCATTTATTTATGTATGTTGAATTTTTTACCTGTAGACAAATATCCCTTGCTGAAATTTTCAGCGGACTTTCTCGATAGGTTAAACAATTAACTGGAATACGTTAAATGAAGGGGTATGAATTGAAGAGTCTCTCCATTTCCGCATAATAGCACCAAATTATAAAAAGTACTTCACATGAACGAATGTACAGTTACCTTTGCGAGAGATGACAGAAAGCTTTATGATATGTAGTAGTTAGTCAATAAAACAAAGAAATGTGATGACAAATGATGTAATGTTATGATGACAAAGGAAAAGCCTGAGTGCAGTAGTACTGTGTGGATCAAAAATTGGATTCTCGCTCTGTTGTAGTTGTAGCACAAAAAGCCTAAATAGCACTACATCACACTACAACTAACACTGCTCTGGTTGCCTTTACATTGAACTCCCTGCATAGTGAGTTGGGAGGAGTGAATTTATAAAGCTTGCATGGTACAGCTTCAAAGAGCTTTTGCTTGAGTTTTTGGCAAGAACATGCATCACTGTCTTATTTGGATGTTACATTTAACTATATACTTTTGGTATTGTAAATTACTTACTGATCATCTGAATCTTCAATAAGATCAGACTTGGTGCAGATAAAGTGAATTTGCTGACACTCGCCACCATTTCCCATGAGTCTACTGGCATCCTGCAGGATCTCCCAGGGTTCATTCTCTGATGCTGCTCGATTAATGTCAGTGACAATCCACACAGTAGAACAACTTCCAACAATCTGAAGAGTTATAACAGAAAGTTAATTAGGAAAAATTCACTTAATTATCAGTGCCTTGTAATAACATGATGTCATAGTTTCCAGATAAGACTGTAATTCTCACTAATGTGAATAAATTACCTCTTTCCACATTTTATCTCTGCTCTTGTTACGGTCCCCATTTCCAGGAAGATCCACAAGTGTGACATGCTGGAGAAGATCATTATTAGGCACCCTGACAGTCACACACTTCACTAGTGGCCAGTACCACCTCTTTACGTCTATACCTTCTCCCTCTTCTAAGTCGCTTCTTGTGTATTTGACATATTTTGCAGAGAGCTCTCCAGCCTGTGATGAATAATAAAATAAAATAAGTCATCGCAAGGTGATTTTATTTTGATGCACATTCATGGTCCTTTACAAAATGCATAAAAGATTTAGAACAGGATGAGATAAAAGAGAAGAGCAACTATGAAACGCTATCAATTAAAGCAACAACAAAGACAAGTTAGATCAATAAAACATGAACAATTCGTTTTTAAGTTTAGATTTAAACACGATCGGAATTTGACAGTGCCTAGATTTAACTAGGAAAATATTTTAAGTATGTGTATCATGGTGGCATAATACATCTTCCCTGTTTGCATATTGCCCTGAGACAGGTCAACACCAAGGTGTTCTTGAAGCATGTAAAAAACATAATTAGGTCCTAACTCTGTTTTTTATGGAACTCTGCAAACTGCATTGTGAACAAGTTGTGTATGCTTTTATGAGTAGAACAAAGAATCATGTAAGTTATATTTTTCAGATGATAAAAAGCACTATAATTGATTTAATATGACCTTGGACACCCAAACTTTGGACCTGTTTTGTTGTTAAAGAGACAAGGTGCACATATGTATGATTTGTTCTAGTCTTACTTACTGATTCACATGTCAAAGTCTTTGTCTTGGAAAAGAGAAATTCTGGAATTTCTCTGAAATGTTTGTTGTCCATGAGGTTTTTAGTTGGTATGTTTTTCCATTCTTCTCCATACAGTGCTGACAGCCTGTCAACAGTGTCATGATCAAGATCCTTTTCCCAATCCTCATTATCCCTAACAATATGATCCAAGGACCACAATTCATCTTCCCAATCCTAAAAAAACAAAATAATAATGTTTAATTTAGTTAAATTAAATGGCACATGTAACCAGCAAATGTATTTAGCAGCTAAACTGTACATTTTCAACTAGTTTCAAGTAAAGATCGACAATTTTACCTCTTTTCTGATGAACTCAATGTCTGCCTCGTACTTTTTGTTCTTGTTAGCCTCCACTTTAATCATGACTGAGGTACATGCACTGACACTTCCAGAGGGCAAAAGATTCTTCACTCCAATGACAGCATTTATCAGAGAGCTCTTTCCAGCTCCGGTTTTACCAAACACACCGACCAGCTTCCTCTTGTCTGTCTCCAAATCACAGATTTTATTTCTGTTGTACAACAGTTTAAATATGTGTTAATTGAATTATTTGGAAAATTTACAATACTAAAAAAAATAAACAAAGCTCAAAGCAATGCTTCTAATGACTGCTAAAATGTAAGGGGGCTACTCAAAGCAATTACCACAGAATTATCACCATACTTTGTAGTTATCCCCAGCTTTACAGAACTTTTTTTTATTATTATTATTTTTCATCCTGCAAATCTTCTTTCTTGGACTGATTTTTGTGTAGACTAACAATATTGCATAATTAAAAGTAGGCTAGCTCGCTGTGCCATCCGGCCAGCCTGAACTGTGCACTCGCAGACACTTGTCTCTTCCAGCACGCAAGCCACAACAAAGTCTACATTTACAGTAGGGAGGTAAATGGGCGACTTCTCCTCAAGTGGTACAACCCTGGTGTGCTTAGAATTGTATTTGGTCAGCTGAAGTCCAATAACGTATACTCTACTTCTGGCTCGTACAGAGCTAACAGAGATGGAGAGAAGCAAAAAGAAAAAGAGAAAAGTGGAGCAGAAAAGTTCAAATTAAAAGGAGGAGGGCACCTATAGGTCTGCAAACAGGCACTGCACAATGTTATGAGTGCAAAGGATAGGATGCAGTTTTTAGTGGCAAGTTGTAATATTAATATGAACTTATCTGACATATTCACAAAACATCTTGAGGTTAACTGTTAGTAAGGAGACACTCCTTAAAACAAGTAGCATGTCAGTCCTAACTTTAGCACTCCCAGGTTTTTTCTCTAAGAATAATTCACAAAGCATTTCAGCGCTAAAAGTAGGTCCTAAGTCTGAGAGAAGAGGCAGTCCAGAGGACTTCTAAGTCACCAAGACCTACTCACAGTCAGAATGTGCTGCAGGTTTCAGTGTTTTTCAATAACAGAATGAAAATTAACTTTTTGTCCCTATTTTTTTAAAGGTTCACTCAGCGTAGTAACTACAACAAACTAAAACAGTCAAATAACACTAAAACAAATAACACACATGGTTCAATACTTCTGTGAACTCGACAGTCTTTCATATGAAAACAACTGATCGTATCCTCACTGCTTTAATTTCCAATGGGTCAAGGTGCTGGAAAATGGAAACATTAATACTTACTTAAGGAAAGCATTGAGCTTTGTGTTGTCTTCATTTTGTAGTCTCATATGAACATAGTTCATTATGTTTTTCACATCAGAGAGTATGATATCTTCTGTCAGAGTAAAAGTAAAGAACTATTAAACAGTGTATCATCACATTTATACTGTGGCCATTCATGAAAGGACAAAATCATCATCCAAAATATGTAATGTTGCTATGGATGCCGGCTGTTTTATTTACATTGATGTCATCAGTAATATTTATGCTGTTGACTGTTTGAGCTGTTATGATGAGATAAGAGACACTGGTCAGCCAGTGAGAAAGTATTTTCTGTGGCCAAGGTACAGAAACAGAATCTTGATATACAAGGAAATTTTCTTTACATAGAAGTTTTAACCCTATAGTAGGCTGTAGGTTTCCATTGTTTAGAAAGTAATATAAATACCTGAGTATGATCCCAGTCTTTTGTCACATCGTCGTTTACTGGCTGGTGACTGACATTCATTGGACCCGCCCTGAAGATCCAACTTTCTCTTTCCTTATTGAATTTTTTTTTTTTTTTTTACAAAAAACAGAAGCTAAATAGGAAAGTTTGCTGCATGTGCCTCTCACAATATTAAAACTTGGTCTCAATATAGTTTTATAGTTAAAACACCAATGAACACTAAATGTGATTAATAAGATATATGATATCTTACCTTTATCACTTGTGCCACTGGTGGAGGGCCAGACCTGAGGATGAAAATAAATATTCGACTCTTAAAACAGTATTTGATCAAGAAATTATATTCACACAGGCTTTGCCTTCTAACAGAGAACTGAAAACACATCTTTACAATTCACACACTAAAATTTACATTTATGTTCTCATCTATTCTGGGATAAGTCTGGCAAAACCCTTGGAATTAGAGTCCAGAAAAGGCCTAACATATGATCACATTTCATATGTCCTCAGTCAATAACACTGATCCAGTGAGACAATTCATTAGTCAAACATGACTCTGTTTATCAAGACACTTTATTGCCTCAAGTGTGCATGCTTGAAGAATAGAGGAACGTATGGAACACGGATTGGTCCAAAACATCCAGTTTGATGTCCGCATTAATATGTCAAATGTGCAACAGAAAATACTGAACACATTAATTACATCTTAAGACAAAATAAAATGCCGTGTTAACACACCAATTTTGAACGTTCATAGATTACATGCTTGTGAAATTCAATGTCAACCTTACCTGAGCAGAATCAGCTGCTTCTTCATTCTCCTGTTGACACAAAAGATAAATTGTAAGTGTAACATGGAAAAATTTGATGAACCACAGAAAATAAAATCTGTATGACTGCAATAAATGTCTTGGATTACACCTAATTGCATGAAACTGTATTCAACTTACATGAGCAGAAGAATCAACTGTTTCCTGATGTGCTGGGTTTTGTTCTGCCTAGTGACAACAGAAAATATTTGCTAATCCATAACAGTAAAAGAATGTTTTATAAAATTATAGTAAATGCCATGAATCTATCTGTAGGAACTGTTACAGTTACAGAAGTTCATGCTCCTGTAACTGTAACAGCATGTCTCCACATAAATTAAATTTATCACACTAAACACAGGACCTGTGTAAAGTATCTTTACAGTGCAGAACATTACCTTTAACAACTTGAGTCTCTTCTTGAATTTTACTTTTGTTCCCACTTTTGTGATCAAGGTATCAATTTCCTGATCACCGAGACAGTAAAGACTTTCTGTGTCAATGCCTTCATCTGTAATTAAAAAATATTCAGTTCAATCTCAGTCATGGAAAAATAAGTGATAATTTCAATTTAGGGAGTGAAACAGGTGCAAGAAAAGCTCTTTGTTTTAACTTGAAGAACATGTCAGCCTCACAGAGCTAACAGCATTCGCCACTTTTCAAGCTTGATTTCAGTGCTTCTTCTTCATGTTTTTTTATTGCAAGTACACACCATGAACACAGACAAGAATGACCAGAATTTGTCAACATTTATCTCTCCCAAAACTCGATGTAAACTGTGAAGGATATGTCAGCATTTTACTGAACAACAAAGTTGCAGTATGTTTATATAATGTTAGTAGATATTTAGATGTTTCCGTATTGGTAGGTCACATCAGTATTATATCTGTGCCCCCAAAGAAACATGGTAATACTTTACCTTCAAATCTCTCTATCAACATGCTGAGACCCCATTCTGTTAATTTATTACAAACAAACTCATCCATGTCCAGGAACAGAAACTGAAAGGTAAACAAATGACAATATTTAAACAATCATCAATGCTTGATATTTGTGAGACAGTTAAAATAAATTACATTTAATTGAATCTTGATGTGTGAAAACAAAATCAGTGTGTGATGATGTCTGTAAATCAGGTTTCAACACATCTTAAATCATGATTCACTATTACAACATCCAAAAATGTTGGGCATAGGTTCAGGGATTTAGCATGCGAGTAGATGGGTGGAAATCCACACACAAAGTTCACAATAGCAAACACAGCAAATTCATCAATGTATTGTAGCTGCTCTCTTTTCTCAGTTTTGTGAACGTTGCCTGTTGTTGGCCAAGACTTTGTAAAGGTGGGTCACAACTGCAGCACTGCACTTTGATGCCTCCAGCACAGCTCAGTTTGTTTGGGTGCCTCAGAGCAGCAACCACTCCCTTTTAATTCATTTCACAACAAGTCAGCTCTTCCTGCCCTCTGTACTTGTGTAACTGTAATCTGTGATATCAAAGATAATAAAACAATATTCACATAAAACAAATGTTGAGAGCAGGTAATAGTGAGAGATTAAATACTGATAATCCTGAATAATCTGTTAGTTGTTACTGTGATATGTGGTTCACAAGAAGGGACATCATTTAACAGGCCATTTAACTTAAGAAAAATGGTTAGATTGATGGACATTTAACTGTTGGGACTCATCATTCAAGAGACCAGATGTTTCTTTGCTCCACTGGACAAAGGAACTCACACTCCACAGTTCCTCACCGTTCACACCTGGGGACGACCGTTCCCCCCACGGAATTTACTGGCCAGCCAGTGTGGGTCAGCGTGTGACATGTGACCCCCAAGGGTGTCACCAAACAAAACCAGATCTCTGGCCCTCTTCTCTCTCTTTTCTCTTCTTGGCTTGCTCTGGAGAGCAGCTCCCGCTCTCTCCTCTCGGCTTTTCAAAGGGCAACAAGGCCCCAGCCCAAGTCAGCCCTGCTACCTGAGAAACCAGCTCTCTCGCTGGCCTGCTCACAGCAGCCTGCAACACTCTTCTCCTCAACAGCAACGACCTGCTTCGGATTAACTGAGAGTGAGCCAAATTCTCTTCAGAATCAGCAGCTACGACACAAGGCCAGCTGATTTTCCAAGGAACAGGAGTCATAGCAGAGTTAGCGGGGAACAGCTAACTCGTATGTTCACACACATAGTAGTATGTCTCAGTTCTAGAATCTGCATGAAGCTAACCTCCTCCCTCTAACCTGGTACCTTTAGATTACACGAGCTAGGCTAACAAAGAAACTCACACCTTCCCTCTCACACACACTAGGTGGTCTCAGCGGCCATTTTGAGTAGTTTCTTTGTTTACCGCCATCTTGTGTAGTCTTTTTTGTTCAGGTTATGTGGTCACAGTGATCACTTTGAATTGGCCATCTTGCCTTTGTCTGTGTCCCCACAGACACACACACCTACACCTACACCCACACACATACACACACCTGTATATACTAGATTAGACATTGTGTTTTACTCTGCTCCATGGTAAATAAATGCCTTTAAGTATAACTACTGGTGTGTTTAATGTTGCACAAGCGTGAATATTGCCAACCTCTACTTGGTAGAATTCCAATCCTTCAACTTTAACTTACTGTTGATATGGTAATTTGGTTATAGTTAGTAAGCCAATGGTTAATCAGAGTTCCAGATTAATGGTAATAAATTGAGACTAAAACCATATTGGCTATTTTGCCTATTAGTTTAGGCTGGTGCCCCGAGGACTTTAATTAATTTTAAAGTTATTATTTACTATCAATATTTTTAATATTAATATTTTCTTAATTTATGATAGCCAATAAATTGATAGACAACCGAAATCCAACATATTTGGTGTCCAGCTCATGAGGTAGAGCTCAGACCCAACATAACTATATAATTTTTTCACAACTATTGTACCTTCCTGTTACTCACCACCACCTCCTGCCACTTTAAAACCTTTCAGTTTTGTTATAAAGGTAAACAGAGGTGCTCTTTGGAGGTATACCCAGATTGTACATCTGTAAATATTAAAACTATAAAAAATTTAATTTAAAAGTATGACTTTCATTTTTTTATTATATTACCGATAAGTTTGTCAATACAAAATAGAGACAAAATTGCCCTGTCGACCCCTACATGTTATCCTACTGTTTAATTTAGTGTCTCCATATTATATCTAGTTATGAATGTGATGCATTGAAGTTAGCGTACTCACATTTTGTCAGTTCCTCTTTAACACTCAAACATGTCTCCACTGGTGCTTGATCTACTCTGAGCCCTTCCTTATATACAGTCTCTCACCTGCGTCACCTGTGTACTCTCCTCCCTGCCCACAGTGCAGGTTCAGCAATGTATAAATACATTGCAAATACATTGCAGAAACTTATAAATACATACATTAGTTGTACATTTGTACACTGTTCCTACAGTAGTTGTACAGTGATGATAGACCAGAGACAAGATATATCTGAGAGATCATGAGTTGATTAATGGAGGAGAAAAGAAAAAAAGTTCTGTTGCACAAACTTTATATTCTTGTGTGTGTCTCCTCTGAATGTAGTTGAATTGAAATAAACATGAAAAGGAAATGCTCAGTATCTCAAATTACTCTTCAGTACTGTACTTGAGTAAAGGTACTTTGTTATTTTCCACCACTCTTAAAACAATAGGAAACAACTTGAGGGTTTTCACCAGTGTTGCTGCACTGGTGACTCCTACTGGTTGTTTGTGGTGCCTGCACTGTGGTGACAGCACAACTCTCTCACTCCTCACAACACCCTCCCTGCTCATCACAGGTTAAATCACAGATATTAAATCATAACATCACATTTAATTTATACAGCATTTTCCAAAACAGATTTACAAAATGAGTAAAATCAAAGTAAAATCAAAATAAAACAGCCGAGCACTGCAATTAAATGAAATCACACTAAATACAGAAATACAATAAAATATCCAAATAGTGAATATAAAATACATTAAATCGGAGTGAAACAGACAGTTAGCATTTAAGACATATTAGATGTAGCACATCTATGTGTAGTATGGCTGACCTATACAAGTCCATGAGTTGAGAGTCATTAGTCAGGCAGCCTGTTCCTTGTAAAGAGCTGCCTGGTGTGTTTACACCACAAGAGCTATTATGGAGTGAATCAAAACAGGGACATTGTAGAATGGAAAACCACAAAGTTGAGCTGAAACTCGGTATAAAGCGTTTTTGTATTTGTTATCTGCGAGTCACACATGCAGTGTAACAATTTTACAAATGAAGCCTGATTGTTCTTTTTTCTCTGCAATATTTAATACTTTACTTTTAATTGTATTCTAATAACCTCTGTTACCCAGATCTCAGAACCACTGAACTAGTGCCTCAGACAAGTTAATATTACTTTACACCAGGACGCGCTTCAGTACTTTGGTGCTTCGGTGGCTCACCTGGTGGAGCGCATACCACATAGGTTTAGTCCTAACCGCAGCGACCATGGGTTTGACTCCAACCTGCAGCCCTTTGCTGCGTGTCATTCCCTCTCTCTCCCTGACTTTCCTGTCTCTCTCTCACTGTGCCTCTCAAAACAAAGGCAAAAATGCCAAAAAATAACTTTAAAAAAACTTTACACAAAACATTGAGTCAACTGTCATATCACACGAATTAACACTGTAACAGAGAGACACTGAGGCGATCTGCTTACATTAAGTAACTGCTGCCACAAGCAATTTTACAAAGCAGCTTTTATCAACTTGAGCAATGGGTCAGTCAGGCTTTTGATTGGTCGCTGGAACCAGTGAAAAACAAAGGAGGGACCAGCTGGGGACTGGGAAGACTTCATTCAAACAGAAAAAGAAGAGGGAGACCCTGAGGGATTGTTCATGATATTTCAAAAAATTTGACGGCAAGGTAAGTCACACCTACTGTATGTACTCAATCATAATTTTAAGTGTCATGTAGCTATAAAAAGTCAAGTGTCATGCCAAGAAAGCAATGATTTGGGGCCTTACTGCTGTAAGTACTTTAGCTGTGCAGTGACTAATATCTCTCACACAGTTTCAAAGCCTGTTTGAAATATCATTGAATTAAATGTACAATCGACAAATGTACAAACCCACTTATCGTTATTCTGGAAAGATTTTTATGAATTGTAGTCCACAATTCATTCTAGCTCAAAGGGGAGCTGTGTTTTATCAGTTGAGATAAATATCCACCATGAGTCAATACTGCCTAATGTAGAGGCAATTTTGCTCTAAGGTGAGGAAAGCAGACAACAATGAGTCTGTCAAGATTCAAAGATTTATTACTGAACAATATGTAAAATTAAAATGAACAACCAACAATCAACACAATGATCATAAGCAGAGACAAACATATGTAGCTTTAAGTGTATCTAATGAATAAGCTAAAAGTAGGAATCCAGAGATCACACAGACTCATATTCACTTCACAGTTTTTTTGTTTTGTTTTAATAAAAGTTCCTTTGTATCAAAGGAAGTATTTAAATAAACTGGTTTTGTGTCTTTTGGAAAATAAATGTGAATGGAATTTGGTTAACAGCAACATATCTGTCCAGAAACAACGTGTCATTGCTCAGGACAATCCACAGACTTTTGCGCTATTTCTTCAGTAGAAAGTACTTCCTGTACAATACAGCTGACAGTGAAGTCTGGGGGATTTCGTCGTTTGAGAGACAGGCATCTAAAAAATTCGACTGATAAAACCAAAACAATCTACTCTGCTATCAATCACTTGGTATATGTTGAAAAATACATTATGTCTTTTTGTACATTGGGTGAAATGAACTAGAAATCCAACCTAACATTAAATCCTGTATTCAAGTTCAAACAATCATAAAATCAAAGAGACTTCTATCAAAATCTACCAGCAACAAAGTCATAATATAAAATCATAGAAAAAACATGAAAATGTATTATATAAACACTGTTAAATCATGAAAAACACAAAGCAAGAACAAGAACATATCCCGAGACCTCATGCCTGCAGAGACATTCAGTGGGTCATCAGGCCTCTGCTGCTTCTCTCCACTGAGCAAACCTGAAACATCCACCAGAGAGATTAACAGCAGAGTTTTGACATTGAACAGTGATAACAAATCACATCAACCATTACTGAACATTTGTCCTACAAATGTGAGGACAGCTGCGCACACTGGAACACAAACTCTTACCATCTGTTTGAATGCTCGGTTTGGATAAACAGTTTGACCAAAACTTACCTGCAGAAGTCATGGAGTCAGAGCAGCTGGGCCAGGAGGATCAGTGCTACTGTAATTAAAAGCATCATCAACATTATTCAGAATAAAAACAGCTCATAATCTATGCCCTTTAAAAAGATCATGGAGACATTTTAACAGAACTTTTACCCAATTAGTGATGTTTCTTCATCTGGGCTCGACTTCAGTTTATCATAGTGACTCTTTACCATGTCAATGTCTTCTGAAACATCTACCAAAAAAGATTGTGTAGAATAAGTGCATTATTGGAAATCTGTTGATTTATTAATTTCAGTGATATATTTACAAAGTTCTCAGTGTTCTACATAAATGCTTTTATTTTGAAATGTTCTCTACCTGGGATTGAGTAATCATCTGTCTTGAGTGACACCTCAGTTGATTCCTTCAGGGTTTTTTCAAGTTCCTCCAGGATGTCCCGCTAATTCAGCATCAAAATCATTATCATTCACACAGAATTTGCTTTTTAGACGTGTGTTTAGATGGTCAAAATTGTTAATTTCATCACAGGCTTTTGTTTGTTTCTGTCCTAGAATAATAATGACTGCACATTCCTAACAGTAACTGCAGTGTTTTAGTAGCACAAGCAGCTTTCAGAATGATGCATATTGAATGGAAAAAGCATTCATGTATATGATGACAGATGTACAGTACAATATGTTTTACTATATTATTGTTTCATATTATAAAATATGACAAACCTTCAAGTTGTTCAGGTAGACCAACAGAGAACCTTTAGCCTGGTCAAACATGGTGTTCTTTGAATCATGTACATGCCTCTCAATGGTGTACCTCATGTTTTCCAGCATGCCCTGTCCTCTAAATTCTGCTGCTTCTACAATAAAACAGGAAACTGTTGTCAAATTTAATGTTTCTATCATGACGAATGTAAATGTGTATTATATAGTGACAGGTTGTGTACATCATGATCTTCTTTATTACTTTTATAGCATTCTTGCATGATTTCCTCGATTGTCCATGTCAGACTGCTGTAGATTGTTTTCTTGCGCTTACGGATGAGTTTGTTGAGTTTTGCCTTAATCTTTTCCTCCTTGAAGAGAGAACATAAAGAATAGATTAACATACTCATCTGAAAAGCAATTAATGATTTGAACAAATTTTCCAAGCAGAACCTGAATTTTCCCACAGGTAGTGTTATATATATTATCATATATCATCATATATATTAATATTAACTTGTTTTACCTCTGTCTGGAGGAAAGTCAGCTGCAGCTCAACCTCTTTGTACTTTTGTATCAGCCTCTCTGTGTCAAGTGAAAACGCACTGATGACTCCTTTGAATGGTGGACATTTTCCTTCATTTCTGAAACATGTAAAAAAGTTGAAATGTTTCATATATTTAATTATGTAATTTGAACAAATATATTGTCTGTGAAGATTCTCAGTCATCTAGATTATGGTATTTTGTAGGTAACTAGACTTGCTTGAGGTTCATAAAAATATATAACCTTCTCCAAAAGGCTTCTGAAAAAAGCCTGTCACGTGAGAGGTGAAACATCTTCAAGAACCTCAAGCAGTTGCCTTCATATAGCTCTTAAATATATATATTATTAATCATCATTTGTAGAAGGCAGAGTTTCTTAATTCTAGCCATTCACAATAGTTTGTAAATGGGCCAACAACAGGTTTTATATCCTCATTAAGTAATTTCTTACGGGAAGGTCTTCCTGAATTCCTCATCGATGCTGTCAGTCAGGCATGAACTTAACTTCTCATTGATGTTTATTTGTCTCCCTTTTTTTGGTTTATAGATGCCGTTATTCTCAACTACACACTTCAATGTCCTGTAAAAACCGCGAACTGCAACACCTCTCTGAAACAAAACAGAAAAAAACATCTTTAAAGACACTTTCGTATGAGGTGCAAAACTATAATCATCATTATAAAAGTGTAATTAAAATACATACAGGATATAAAATGGATTTCAACTTTGCTTCACATAAACGTTTTGAATCTTCAACCCCCTCAGTAAGGCATTTTTCAAAAGCCTCAGAAGCCTCTTCCACGGGTTTTCTGACTTTTTCAAGTTCCTGCCTCATGTTTTCTTCAAGTTCTGTGCACACCTCTTTCTTTTTTCCAGCCTGAAATCAAACACACATTTACTCATGAAATCTTGTTGGTCTTGAGTATGAACACCCTTTAATTGCTGTGGTTATACAGCCTCTCTAAAGTAACTTCAGTAAATCAACAACCTTGATGGATACATTTTCTTAGGGGTGACATTACATGTAGACCCTTCCAGTATTTAATTGGCATTAAGAGGTAGTTACTCCATTAATCAGTCAGAAGTCATTAGACTTTTCCATGTTTTCACTGCATTTGAGCGTAATTTACTTATTTACTATGAATATTATTATTTTCTGGGAACATTAATAACAATTCAGATGATTAAACACAATGAAAGAGGTTTTATTACTTGATCTTACCACTTCCCTGCATCTCGCTCCTTGAATCAGAGAGAGAATCCCATAAGCTCCAGACACATAGTTTAATGTCACTGAGTGACAGTCATTGAGCTCTTGCAGAAATTCCTGCAGTTTAGGTATTTCTGTAAAAAAAAAATCAAATAAAAAAATAATAATTGTGTTTTACATATTTATAAAGCTTAAATTTCGATTGTTAGTTTTTTGTTTTTTTTAACTTAAGTGGTGAAAATAAACTAAAACAAAATACGTATTTCAGCTACACATTTTCTATCATGGAAACTTCACCTACCAGTGTCATCTTGTCTTAGACGTTTGTTTTTCAGAAACTCTTTGGAGCTCACTGTGAACACTTACACAATACTCATCACTGAAGTGTTTCTGAAAAAGACAAAAAGTTTTTAATTTTACCATAGTCTTGCAGTTGTAGAAGATATTCTTGCAGTCTTTATAACTCACCTTAATCTTGGTTTGTTTTCTGAATTCTGTCATCACTGTTTCCTTGGCTTCCATGTTTCTTTTCAGAATGAGAGCATAATCACCAGCTGCTGAACTATAAAAAAAGATTTGTTTCCAGTGGCAACTCTGTTTAAAAATATAGGATGGTAATATACAATGGCAATATTAACATGTTTTACCTCTGTCTTGACAAAAGTCAGTTACACTGAAAAGCACTGAAATTTGTAATTCTAACTTTTATTTTTTTCTATGTATGTTGACTTTTCTGCCTATAGACAACACTTTTTCATGTTCAGCCGACTCTCTGTGCACTGACTGAAATACTCTCTAGGTTACCCTACCAATTCATTTGAATGAATTCAAACAATGTCAATGAACAATGTCTCCATTTTCCCATAATAGCACCAAATTATAAAACTACATAGTATTTCACAGGACCCCTCCAATGAATTTACAGTTACATATCAGTTCCTTTCTCAGAAATCACAAAAAGCTTTGGGGCTCGTAAAATACAGCAGTGGACTGGCTGCAAATACATAGAACACAAGCAAATAGACAAACATTGACTTATTTGAGAACACTATCAATTTCTACAACTGTAGTATCCAGTGATGATGACATATTTACTTTAGCTGTACCTCTTGTTCACACTGAACTCAGAAAAACTGGGTTCAAATACTATGTATGTATTTAAAATTACACTTGAACATGCTTTTCTTAAATGTGAAAATGCCCCACCATAATTTTACTAAGTTATACAGCTTATAACTGATGCTTGCAACATCAACATGCGCACATTCACACACTCCTACCATCTAACTGTCATTTTAAGCGCTGTTTGTTGTGTGTATGTGCCACTGGGGCAGGAATCATGATGGCCATGCATATAGATGTCATCATTCAAATTAAATCTACATAATTTTTTCTCAAGACTGGATCTCACACAGTTATTATAAACCTGGCATGGCACAGATTCAAAGAGCTTTTGCTTGAGCTCTTGGCCACAACATGCATCACTGTCTTATTTGGATTTTATATTCAACTATCTCATTTTGGTTTTGTAAATTACTTACTGATCATCTGAATCTTCAATAAGATCAGACTTGGTGCAGATAAAGTGAATTTGCTGACACTCGCCACCATTTCCCATGAGTCTACTGGCATCCTGCAGGATCTCCCAGGGTTCATTCTCTGATGCTGCTCGATTAATGTCAGTGACAATCCACACAGTAGAACAACTTCCAACAATCTGAAGAGTTATAACAGCAAGTTAATTAGGAAAAATTCACTTAATTATCAGTGCTTTGTAATAACATGATGTCACAGTTTCCAGATAAGACTGTAATACTCACTAATGTGAATAAATTACCTCTTTCCACATTTTATCTCTGCTCTTGTTACGGTCCCCATTTCCAGGAAGATCCACAAGTGTGACATGCTGGAGAAGATCATTATTAGGCACCCTGACAGTCACACACTTCACTAGTGGCCAGTACCACCTCTTCCCACTCTGTCCCACTTTTGAGTCACTTCTCGTGTATTTCACAAATTTTGCAGACAACTCTTCAGCCTGTAAGAAATAACAAAATAACGTAAGACAATGCATGTCTGTTTACATAATTAAGTCCTCGCCCCATTTTGAATGAAACTCTGCTGGCTGCATTTTGAACTAGTTTTAGTTGCATACATGTCTTTTTGAGTAGAACGAAGAAAAGACTTGCAATGATTTGACGTGCTTGAGCTGAATGCATGGAGCAAGCAGCTTTTCAAGATCCTGTTTGGACAGCTAAATTTTTCAGCTATATTTTTCAGATGATAAAAGGCTAACACTATGATTCATTTAATATGACTACTAGAACCTCTGACCTGTGAAAGAGTCAAGGTCCACACCTTAATCACCTCAGTTTGGTTGTAATTCAGCAAAAGACAATTTTGACACCCCAACAAAAAGCAAATCAATAGATATGACTATTGTCAGTGGAAGTATGACACTGATGTTACTTTAAAAAAGGACTATGAATAGATTGAATATATGGGGGGGGGCAAGTACTGACCCTTGTGGTACTCCACAGATCATGCTGACCTGTGCAGAAATCAGGCTGGTTTGGTTACAATACCTGGACCAGAACCAGAGAGCTAATTCCAGTTTTCCACCTGTCCAACAGTAAAGTGTGACCAAGTTGGACAAAAGCATCATGGAGATTTTATAAAACAAGAACAGACATTTTGCCTGAGTCTGTATTCATGAAAATGTCGTCTAGACATTGGTGGCCAGTGTCGTTAATGATTTTCCTGCAAAGGATAAATTTGATATGGGACTGTAGTTGTTGAGCACAGATTCATCGAGACAACTCATTCTAAAAGTTTTTTTCCTCCTTAAAATATCTAGGCTGTAAACAACTTTTATAGACCTTAATGATTGTGAATTCATAACATCTACTGGGTCAGACAGGCAAGAATGTTTTCTAGGAAGTGATATATAGATATGATTTATTTTTAATCTTACTGATTCACATGTCAAAATCTTCCTCTTGGAGAAGAGAAATTCAGGAATTTCTCTGAAATATTTGCTGTCCATGAGGTTTTCAGGTGGTATGTTTTCCCATTCTTCTCCATACAGTGCTGATAGCTTTTCAACAGTGTCACGATAATCATCATCATCTTCCTTTTCCTGATCTGCATCCCGAAGAACATGATACACAGACCACAATTCATCTTTCCACTCCTAAAAAACAAAAGTGTAATTATGTTTAACTTAGTTATGTGATATGTAATGTAACCAGAAACTTTATCTTTGCAGCTACACTGTAACTTTTCAAGTAGTTTTAAGTAAAAAAAAAAATAAACACATTAATTTTACCTCTCTTGTTATGAACTCAATGTCTGCTTCGTACTTTGAGTTGTTCTTGTTAGCCTCCACTTTAATCATGACTGAGGTACATGCACTGACACTTCCAGAGGGCAAAAGATTCTTCACTCCAATGACAGCATTTATCAGAGAGCTCTTTCCAGCTCCGGTTTTACCAAACACACCGACCAGCTCCCTTTTGTCTGTTTCCAAGTCACAGATTTTATTCCTGTTGGAAAAAGTTTAAATATGAGTAAAAAAAGGCTCTGATGAATCACTGCAATATCCAGCAAAAACTAAGTCTAGTGTCAAGGTCACTTTGGCAAGACTGGAGAGGCAGAGCTCCTGTGTACGAATCAAGGTAGTAGTAGCGGATCCATCCAATCGTTCACACTGCTATAAACAATACGGTTTTAGACTGAGGAAGGACGACCTCTTAATTAACATATGGACACAGGAATAAATTAATAAATGTAGAGGTAATTAAATACATGTAGAAATGCATAAGTAAATAAATATAGAAATATAAATAAATACATAAATAAGTCTTGAAATGCATAAATAAATAAATAAATAAATGTAAAAATACAGAATTTGCATAAATACCTTTTTTTATTACCAAAATGTTTTTAATTTGCATTTATTTATGCATTTAATTATTCGTTTCGGCATTTATCTATTTATAATTGTGTCATTTTTGTCCTTCATATAGCAGACGTTTAGTGGATGTTGGGTTTTGCTCATGACTAGAATGCTGTATTTTATATTTCAAGGCGGCATTGGCATTTCGATGATGATGGATTTGAGTTACTTGACAACACAACATAAAACCAACAAAATATCAACGTCAGCCGTCATCAGTATTCTACGTCAAATTGAGGTTGGCATTACGACGAAACAAATATTCAACCAAATATCAATGTCCAATGATCATGGTGGCCAGCTGCGACATTAGCTGACACAATACTCATACAGATGTGCAGTGCAGTGTGAGGCAGTCTCTTCCTCAGGGCTTTTTGAACTTTGATAAAATGTACACCAAATGTAACCAACACAGCCAGGATGCACAAGCTTTCAGTCAAGATGTCAAGATAACCTTCCCTTACTTAGTAGTGACTTTCTCCTGGGTTAAGACTTAATGTTGTTCTCCTATATCATAACATGTAAAACATCCCCTTAAACTTTTACAGAGATATATCCTGTTGTTGTGCAGATGTTTTTAACATTACTAGTAAGAGCATGATCATAATAGAATGATCATAAAAAGAATTTCCCTAACAGGTTACAGTATTGGTAAATGAAACTTGACACTTACTTAAGGAAAGCATTGAACCTTGTGTTGTCTTCGTTTTGTAGTCTCATATGAACATAGTTCATTGTGTTTTTCACATCAGAGAGTATGATCTCTTCTGTCAGAGTAAAAGTAAAGAAGTATTAAACAAGAACCATGAACAGTGTTTCCAGTTAATGCACAATGAGGTCTCTTGATAAACAAAACAGGAGGAGTGTCTCAGAGTGTATCATCACGTTTATACTCTGGCCACGTTTATACTCTGGCCACACAAAAAAAGGTTGCCCGGGTTTGAAACATCATCCAGAATGTATAATGTTGCTATGGATGTCCTGCTGTTTAATATACATTGATCGCATCAGTAACATGTATGCTGTTGACTGTTTGAGGTGTTCTGACGTGATAAAAGACACTGGTCAGCCAGTGAGAAAGTATTTTCTGTGGCCAAGGTAGAGAAACACATACTTGACATACAAGGACATTTTCATTCGATGTTTTAACCCTATAGTAGGCTGTAGGTTTCTTTTATTTAGAAAGTAATATAAATACCTGAGTATGATCCCAGTTTGTTGTCACATCGTCGTTTAATGGCTGGTGACTGAAATTTGGTGGACTCACCCTGATCCAACTTTCTCTTTCCTTTTTTTAATTTTTAAAAAAAATGTTTTTTTATAAAAAAACAGAAGCCAAAGAGAAAAGTTAGCTGCATGTGTCTCTCACAGTATTAAAACATGGTCTCAATATAGTTGTTTAATCAAAGCAAAATATTATGGCCTTGAAAACACAAATGAACACTAAATATAATCAATAAGACATACAATATCTCACCTTTATCCCTTCTGTCACTGGTGGACTGGCAGACCTGAGGATGAACATAAATATTTGATCCATAAAACAGTATTTGATCAAGAAATTATATTCATACAGGATTTGTCCTCCAACAGAGAACTGAACACATGTATTTACAATTCACACAACCCTGGGAAGTCCAGAAAAGGCCTAACAAGTGATTACATTCACTGTCCTTTTTCCTCAGTCAACAACACTATGATCCAGTGAGACAATTCTTCAGTCAAAGGTGACTTTGTTTCTCAGGACACTTTAGTGTCTCAAATGCATATGCATGAAGAATAGAGGAACATTCACTGCTTACATGCCTGTGAAATTCAATGTCGTCCTTACCTGAGCAGAATCAGCTGCTTCTTCATGCTCCTGTTGACACAGAACATAAAGTGCAAGTGTAACATAAAAATAAAAAAAAATCTGTATCATTGCAATAAAAGTCTTAGATTACACCTAACTGTATGAAACTGTATTCAACTTACATGAGCAGAAGAATCAGCTGTTTCCTGATGTGTTGGGTTTTGTTCTGCCTAGTGACAACAGAAAATATTTGCTAATCCATAACAGTAAAGGAATGTTTTATAAAATTCTAGTAAATGCCATGAGTCTATCTGTAGGTGTCATTAGAACATTTAACAGAAGTTCATGCTCCTGTAACTGTAACAGCATGTCTCCTCATAAATTAAATTTATCACACTAAACACAGGACCTGTGTAAAGTATCTTTACAATGCAGAACATTACCTTTAACAACTTGAGTCTCTTCTTGAATTTTGCTCTTGGTCCCAGTTTTGTGATCAAGGCATCAATTTCCTGATCACCGAGACAGTAAAGACTTTCTGTGTCAATGCCTTCATCTGTAATTAAAAATATATTCAGTCATGCAAAAATAAGTGATAATTTCAATTTAGAGCTGTTCTCACACCTGTTTCACTGCCTTTGTTTTAACTTGGAGAACATGTCAGCCTCACAGAGTTAACAGCATTCTCCACTTTTCAAGCTTGATTTCAGTGCTTCTTCCTCATGTTTTTTTATTGCAAGTACACACCATGAACACAGACAAGAATGACCAGAATTCTTCAACATTTATCTCTCCTGAAACTCAATGTATAGTGTAAAGGATATGTCAGCATTTTACTGAACAACAAACTTGCAGCATGTTCATATAATGTTAGTAGATATTTAGATGTTTCCGTATTGGTAGGTCACATCAGTATTATATCTGTGCCCCCAAAGAAACATGGTAATACTTTACCTTCAAATCTCTCTATCAACATGCTGAGACCCCATTCTGTTAATTTATTACAAACAAACTCATCCATGTCCAGGAACAGAAACTGAAAGGTAAACAAATGACAGTATTTAAACCATCAACAATGCTTGATATTTGTGAGACAGTTAAAATAAATCATATTTGATTGAATCTTGACGTGTGAAAACAAAAACCTGTTGAATGTATACTAACCTGAAAAATCAACTGTTTCAACACTACACTATCCAAACATACAGTATACATTGTGTGATGATGTCTGTAAATCAGTAACTCATGCAGGTTTCAACACATCTTAAATCATGATTCACTATTACAACATCCACAAATGTTGGGCGTAGGTTCAGGGATTTAGCATGTGAATAAGTGGGTGGAAATCCACACACACAATCCACAATAGCAAACACAGCAAATTCATCAATGTATTGTAGCTGCTCTCTTTTCTCAGCTTTGTTAATGTTGTGTGTTGTTGGCCTTGTAAGACTTTGTAAAGGTGGATCACAACTGAAGCACTGCACTTTGATACACAGCTCAGTTCGTTTTGGTGCCTCAGAGCAGCAACCACTTCCTTTTTCACTCATGTCATACCAAGTCAGCTTTTCCTGCCCTTTGTACTTGTGTAAATGTTATCTGTGAAGTTGAGACTGCAGAGCAACTTAATTTCCACTGTAAAAAGCAGTGACACAATAATCAATTGTCTGGACCAGCTGCATTTGTCTTAAAGTAATTTATGTTAAGCACATTCATAATCCAACATTCTTCCAATTTAATATCCAAATCACAGATATCTCTAGCTCACACACTCCTGTGAGAATATTCACAATTTAAAGAGCTCATTCCTTCTTATTTCACTGTGTCAATAAAACAAATGTGTAGCAGGTAATATTGAGAGATTAAATACTGATAACTGAATAATCTTGATAATCTTGATTTTATAATACACCAGCAGGGAAAGTAAATGACATTGCAACATTCACAGTGGGGCAGTATATTTAGTTTAGCAGATTTATTAGTAGTCATAGTTTAGACAATAAGTAAACAAGGACAAGCTTAACCAAAGGTAATTTTTTAGTTTATGTTACTGTGATATGTGGTTCACAAGAAGGGACATAATTCAAAAGGCCATTTAAATCAAGAAAAAAAGAAAAGGTAACCCACTGACAAAAAGCACTATAAAGTGGGTGGGTAAGAAACTTCTTGCAAGAATCTTCTTGCACATAGGCACCGCCTGCTTGGAATGCCTTCTACCAGTGTTTCTCAGTAAAATAATAATTAGCCCGATAACTTATTATTATCAGTGAAATCAGTATGTGTTAAAGAAGTCTCCTAGATATTTCTACACATCTGATAGAGAGCCACAGCACGAAGGCTGGTATACCCCTCATTCTAAGGCTTTACCTGGACACAGTGACTCCGAGAATAGTTGGAGAGCAAGGGGCCTTACCGAAAAGTAGTTGAAGAAGCCTTGGGTTACTGAAGTGACCGGTACAAAAAAGATGATCTCAAAATGAAGTCTGAAAATATAGATAAATTAAAATACAACTATTCCTTGTTAGAAAAAGGAAGTAATCTGTAATCTAAAAAAATCCTTTATTCTGTCAAAATATTCTCCCTTACATCCTGCTTCAGTCTTTTCCTGTCTTCTGTCTAAGATTTGTCTAAGCTAGTGAGCCTAGTCTTCCTCTCCTCAGAGTTACATCTCCTTTTATGGAGCTGAGGGAGGGGCTCACTCTTTCTATCCTATCAGCACATGGTAAACATTTAAAATACAAACCAAGAATTTTATTGGTTATATGAAACCTGCATTCAGTTTACCGGAAAGCAGATGATCACCACTGGGCATATTATTAGTGTAAACAGCATCCTGTTTTCTAAAACAGACAGACGCTGTTTAAAGAGAATGGCGCCAGCTGAGGAATGGTTGCAACATACTGGTCCAGCCACAACTTATGAACCATATCTGCTAACAATGTGTGTTTTCTATTAACAACAGATGTCAACAGTACATCACAATTATGCAATATTTAAACAACAGCTCTCAAAAGGCCTTAAAGTCTGTGGATCAAAGCAGTCATGTTTTCTCTTTTCCCACTTTGTTTTTCTTTCCTTGTATGTTCTCTTGGAGACGAAACTCAGGCAGAATGCACTCTTGATTTCTCCTAACAGTGCCCACTGAAATGTAGTGGAATTGAAGTATAGATTCACATATAAAGGAAACACTCAGTATCTCAAGGTACTGCTAAGTATTACATTTGAGTCAATGTATTTTCAACCACCCTTAAATGAACAGGAAGACAGAGGACGGTTCTCATTTTTCTAGATTTCTGCCTACCCAAGCTTAAAGGCATGCCTCCAAGAGACGGTCCTCTATAGTTCTCACCATTGTCAAGTGCATTGTAGAAGCCAGGAGCTTTTTTCTTTTTTTTTTTTTTTTACAACTCAGATGGCCTGCCCCTCCGCGTTTGTTTCAAAAAACTTAAAGGGACAGTTCGGTTTATCTGACATGGGGTTGTGTGAGGTAGTCATGCATAGTCGGTGTGTGTGCCGACTAGATCTAACACATCCAATAAGCATACTAGATAAAACAAAAGCACACATTCACTTGTGTTTAATATGCAGGCATGTGTGTACAGATAACACTTTTTTTATTCTGTGCTTTTCTTAATGTGATCACCAGAGGGCAGTAGAAGTCAATGTTTTGCTGAACAGATGTTTTTATTTATCCTTGCAGTATGCATGTAATGTTGGAGCATGGAAGATTTGTTGATAGAAGACTCAGAGATCTGTTCAGGATGTTTGTCATTATTTTTTAAAGATAACCAAAATCTCTCTATTTTTCTCAGTTTTTCTCCTGGATTAATATATAAAAAAGTAGTCCTAAAAATAATACCACTTTAATCAGCTGTACCATGAGTGTCTGTTATTTACCAAAAGAACAGGTATGAAGTAAGCAGACGAGAAAGTCTTCCTGCCAGGATCAGAAAGCTCAGTACTATCAGTAATTTCCTATTTAGATGATATTGCCCAGCATTTATTATTTGTATTTGTGCATGGACACTATTAGTCATTAGGTACACCTAGCTAAAGCTCATGTAGTGTAATAGAAAAGTCCTGCATTAAATCCTACCTTCATGAAGGTTTCAATGTCCAGTTTGTCTTGAAACTGTGTTAAAGAGGTGCTGATTCAACTGTATGTTCATTTTTGGCGAATGTAGTCTGTGGAACTGTTGAACTGCATAGCATTGTGTTGCCAGATGTTCCTATTATTTTGTCCACTCCACTAAACTCAATGAGGATAGGCTAACAACAGAAACACCTCCACCACCTACAATGCAAGACAGCTGAACAGCCTCCTAAATGATCATACACTTAAATCAACACCTCTTTAACACATTTTCATCAAAAACTGTCCATGACGAAGGATTCATTGCAGGACTGTTGTATTTGACTGCATAAGTTTAGTTAATAATAATGAAATGACGAGTGTAAATCTGGCTCAACATCTCCAAAAATACTGGGCTGCGTGGATAATATTATGTAATAACGAAGTAAAAGTCAGACATACTGTCATGGACAGACAAATTTATACATGAACATCAGTCACATTTAGTCATACATGAACATAACCTCTTATATTACATTGCAAACAAAGAACTTTGTCTTCGGTCCCAAGCTGAACAAATAAAATCTGCCACAACAAATGTTCCCTTCCTAAAACTAACTTTTTTTGTTGACATCAAACCAGAACTCATAAGAAATTAAATATTTATTACAAAAAGTATAGCCTCTCAATCATTAATTAATGAACAATAAAACATTAAATGCATCCTCAGTCACACTTAAATCACATAACAACCAAAGTCTTTTCTCCTGAGGGAGACCATTAGCCTTCTTGTTACTATAGTTAATGCTAATTTACCTGAATGTTCTGTCCACATAGAGATCTTTGATTGGGCAATTTCCCCTCAGCTCTGCAAAGCTTTACACCACTTTTCAGCTCATTGTTTTGGTTTTGTGGCCCAGTTTTGGTTCATTCTCACCCTTCTTACCGTGTCGCTTTTGGCCACAATAGACAGCTGTTTCAGTGAAAAGGCTCTGATGACTAACTGTACACTAACAGGCACCAACACCAAATGACAGGCAGACAATGTTAGTTATGAGTTATGGAATACAGAGGAGCATTTAGCAGCTAAAAAGCCAGATATTTCCCTGAAAAAAAAACCTAAAAGATCTTTAGAGTTGCATTAAGGTGATAACACACGACTCCTAATGAATGCTCAGTTGCTCCGTGTCTGCTGAATGTGTAAATTAGCAACTTTTTGCTAACAAATTTATCATATCAACTTCAAAAGGTGATAATATATCAGTGTCATGTTTACAGCATGTTCTTGCTGCATATACCAAAGTATTCTTTATTGGAGGTTTAAGAATGAACAACTTACAAAATATGTTTTACAATCTTTAGCTATCTCAGATGACAGGATCAGAATCAAGTTCACCACCATAGCTGCACCATAAGTACAGAGACATTAAGCCAGGCCAAGCCAAGAAACTGCAGCTCAAGGTGTTTCTCAAACAGTTGTTCACCAGCCCTTGAGGTAAACAGAGGCAGGCGAAAACGTTAGACACACCTTTGTGTATGCTGAAAACAGTTCAACAATGTCATAAAATAAAGCACCAAACAGAACCATAGAATCACCTCTCTGCCCCAGTGTCAATAATAAGGATCAAGAGAGTAGGATTTATTACAAGGTTGCTGTACTGGATTGCAGAGGCCGAAGTTAACTCTGCTTAATGTACTTGCAACTCAGATTATGTTTGGGTGACTCTGCAAATGAGTGTCCCTGTTCACCTGCCTCCAGTGCCAAGCCCAGCTGACCAGACCTTTCCATGACCTTGCTCGGTGGTGACAGCTGCACCCAGTCTCTATGGAACACAACACCATCCCAGAATGAGCCAAACAACGGTTCCTTCAAGACAGGGTCCCTCAAGACAGACAGACCTGGTCTTGAGCGCGACCTGACTCAGCCCCAGCCACCCAGGTGTGCCCTGCTCGCCCCGGCACAACAACTCTCCTATTTACCATGCATTTACCTCACTTTACCTCATTTCCCATCATTTCCCTGGTCTATATTTGTTGTCATGCTGAGCAGTCGGGGGATTTTCCTGTTGACAGGATAACACTCAAACATCAGAAAATCCAGAAAAACAGATTAGTGGTCACTTTGACACTGTGGATGTGAGAATTAACAGACAACAAAACAACTAAAATCAAAGTAGAAAGTAGAATGAGGGAGAGGTACAAAGGTGAGAGGTGTAAATAAGTGTATATTACCTTTGGACTTTAACCAAAAATAGGCAAATGCTCAGGACACCTGTGTTTGCTCTTTCGTGAGTACAGTGTGTGTGTGTGTGTGTGTGTGTGTATATATGTCTTTGTACGGCCACTTCCTCTGCCCAGAAAGGGTCATTTTTGGGGCACTGTCATTAAGAGATACTGTAAGCAGTAAGAAATTAAACTTTAATGGCGATTCTTATCTAGTTAAAACCACTTGTGATTCCACTCTCGTACTCCCCTCGACTCGCACTAATTGATGTCACACCACAACTACTGCTACTGTGTTTATCATCATCTATATAGTTTTATTCATTGAATGTAGGCTGTGGATATAAAACCAGCCACCGGGGGCAGTCTCCTCCCTTTGCGCTTCCCCTGCCTGTTATCGTTTTTACAATCCCTTTTGCTACATAAAAACAACAAACAACCTCACAGCTAGCAACGTATATGCTGAAAATGGCGTGTTTTGATCAAGATTTGGATCATGCAATCACACAGTCGTCATACGTCTTTGCTGTTTTTTGTTGCATTTTCTGTGCAGGGTTTTAGGCATTTTATTGATTCTGCTCACTTGCCCATGTGCAAATATTCTATCAAAACAAGTTCACCTTTGACACCATTTTGCAGGGACACCGTCACTGCATCCTGGGCTCAGTGCACTTACCACTTTGAGTGTTGGACTTGGACTGAGCCTCACAAATATCAAACCTTCCAAGCAGTTCTCTGACCCCCCTCAGATATTTAGGTAAGGACTGTTTCACCCCTTGTTCTGAGAGCTGTTAATGCTTTCCTTTGGGTGCTGTCAAAAACAAAAGATAGGATAACCTTTGGCAGGTCATGGTGGTCATGTGGTTAGGCAATGGAGTAAAAAGACATTTCAGAAGTTTTGAGTTTGTGGGTTGGATCTTCAGCTAACCTATTATATTTTGAAGTCCTGCAACCAGAGAAAATACTCAAAGGTTGTAAGAAAGACTATGAGTTGCTGGTGAGATGGCTTAGGGAGTTAGAGGTCTGTTTGGTACTAGTAAACATTCAAAGGCTATAGCAAAGCAGTAATTGGCTGACCAAATAGCTCATGGTTTTAAAACACCACTTGAACGATTTGAGGTTGTAGGTTTGATCCTTATGAGGCTCAGACAATTTTGAACGCCAACAACCAAAGTGAAGATGGAAAAGGGCTCGAGAGAAGCTACCAGTGTGAAGAGGAATCCTGTCTGTTGTTGGTACCTGGAGCATGAAACCAATCCTGTTACAGACCTCTAGAGAGACAAAAGCAGGAGGTCAAGTGCAGGCTGTGCGTGTGTATGTGTGTATG